TCAAACGAGTCGAGTCTGGAACTGTCTGGGCTCACAGTTGCAGCTCAGGAGCTACAACCTGCTGGGAATCGGAGTAGCAGCTAAATAGAAAAGATAAAAAATGTTGAGCCAGAGACGAATGCTGCAAAAGAACCATGAAGCTGTGCTTATCCACCAGATAAGCCACGATTTTCGCGAGGACTTTTGCTCACCAGGATCACATAGGATCACTATAACTAGTTCTAAGACACTCAAACGAGTTCACATTTTTTGTTCCGATGCCACATATTCCTCCAGATTTGTCCAAATCAAGTTGGCCAACCACATGCAGTTGTCCACCCTTGTCCACTTCTATGTGTGTTTTCCGTAAGTGCAAGTTCCAATTCCTTGGGAAATTCCTTCATCGAACTCTCCGACGGGAGCAGGTTTTTGGTTCTCGCCATCACTTTAGATCCAGCTCATCAACCCTGGCGTGCCAGCGACATGAGAATCAACCTGAAAACTCGCAAGGTGTCACACAGATCCCAACTCCTATCTTTGGGTAACTCACGGATTTCTAAGGATTTTACATGTATTTAGCCTCTGGTAAACAAACAGTTTGCTATTGAACATTGCCCATTTCTAGTTGATTTACCTATAAAGATGATGATTTTCCATAGCTTTTTGTTAACGTTGACCAGAGGGTACAATCTACACCGTAAATCCCCTGAAAAAAATCCCTTTCTGTTCCTAGAACCCTCACTTTTTCTCTGAAACTTTCTTCGGATTTTCCTCGGATTTCCATCCAAGACATGCCGCGGAAACAATTGCAAGAGCTGCGTGGCCACGTCAAAGCGGTCAGCCTTGTGGAGATTGATTAAGCTGGATCAGAGCGAAATATCATGGATCATGATGGATCTATGTGTGTATACATATATATATGATATGATATGATATTAAATGAATATGAACGGGAATCCAAACATTATATATATATTACATAATATATATATATACATTATATATATATATATATGTATGCTATACTCATATGTTTTTGTTCAACAGCGATGTGCAGTTCATGTCTATACTGTCTATACTCCCAAAAATATAAATGTATAGAATAAGTTCAATTAATATCATAAGAATCCTAGCATAATTAATAACGGCTATAGAAATCCCTAAGAATATGAACTGATCTATGGCTTCTGGGGATGATTCCCCGAATCCAATTCCCATCATTCCACTGATGTCACAACGTGGGGAACATATTGATGAGCCGGGATACCCTGGGGAAAACATCCAAAAAGATGTGGAAAATCCACAGTTTCCCTAGGAATATGATCAAAATGGTAGGCTTCTCCAAGCATCCTAAGGTTGATCCGGTGTTTTTCGTCAAAAGTGGAAGTTCTCCTTCAAAAATATGGGATCCTGAAATGTGCATATGTTGCCAAAAAGATGAAGGAATTACACCTGTAAACCAAAGCTGAGGGGTGTTACTGGGGAAGACTAACTGGATGTATATGTATATATATAATATATAGCAAACCATCAAACATGTGCAGACTGGTTCATGACATCTAGGTAAACTGAAATAGTTGCCAAAACTGAATGTTCATAGGTTTGGGGATAGTTTCCCTTACTTATTTACATTCACATTCGTTTCAAACGTCGTAGTAACACTGTTTTAATTTACCAACATGATATTGATACAATGTCGGGATGGGGCACGGTAGTAGTTGATACTTGTTGATGATTGTTTATGTTCCCGTGGTTGGATACTAATGGTTCAAAATAAATATTCTCAGCGAGGAGAGGTAAGGCATGTTTGGTACTTAACTATATAGTAATTATTGAAATTTACGGACAGTTACGAGCCCATCATCTTTACTTTGAGCCAATGTATACCATAAACAATACACATTCTGGTTGATACCTATCCTTCAGATCAGGGTTTTGTTCACCATATTTCACAATGTGATTTACCTGCCGGTGTTTCCAAGCACTTCTTGGTGTCTCTCTATTGGCCCCCGCCCAGGTCCACAAACACACACGCTGACCCTCCAGGCAATTGACAATATTATCCTTTTTTGAAAAAACTAGTAAAAATCCACTATGTGTAGTTTTTTTAGTATGACATGTTGCTGTTCTTAATTGATATTTATTAGTCTCTTATTATCATTCTTTGTCCACACGCTGGGAAATCCCACCGGAACGACATGGGAACACCCAAAAAAATTCCTCGTCGCCTGCTCACAGCTCTCCACCGCAAAGGAATAGCTGACGATGGTCGGCAGCAGAAGTTCCTCGGACATCTCCCTCAGCGGCTCCAGCGCACCGACGCGTGAAAGGTCCGCGACTGGTCATGGGGCTACCCCAAGCGAGCATTGGATGGTTTCTTTCAGGGAAAATCCCATTAAGATGGATGATTTCATGGAAAATCCCTACGAAAATGGATGATTTTGGGGGTACCCCCTATGGGATTGGAAACCTCCACGTGTTGATTCGAATCTGAAGCCATGACATGGGCAATGTCGTGATCATCGGAAATCTCGACATTGATGTAAGCACATAGACATAATGGGAACGTGATGAGACCTGTCCGCAAAAAAAAATCTAGGGTCCATAGCTTTTGGGGGATGTTTTCTTCTGACTTACAGGTTTTCCAGGCCTCAACAAGGATTGAGCCAGTTCCCAACGCTTTCCTCTGCCTTGGCGGGGAGAATTTCAGGAATCTTCCAGCACAGGAGTGGGCCTTGATTTGAGTTGAGAATGGCTTTTGACTTATAGCTTGAAGCTTCAAATATGGTGGATATGATGATTAACACCAGGATATTATCTTGAACGTAGCTAAAGATCCTTGACTAGAGTTTGAATTAACCAGGTATGTGAGGCTCTCATTTTTAGAGTCTATCAATGATAGGGGTGCCTTGCTGCTCAGGTTTCCTCCAACTGAGTGACACCCTCACCATACCTTCACCATATGGGATCCACGATGCCATAAACAGCTGGTGAAATAGGCACCTACCAGTTCCGGAGGATGATACTATCGTAATAAAACATGGTAAAACTTGGTAAAACTATAATTATACCATGTTGATATTGGCAATAATTATAATATTATACTGAACTAATATAAACATCCCCAAAATACCATGTGATGAACCTGCCCTTGGTGATATTGGGGATGGATTTGCCCTACTTCCATCCGTTTTTCCGGTGACGTTCCCGAAAACAACGAGATCGGGAGCCAACTCTGAGTGGATCCGACGCGCTGCATTGAGCGCTGCATTGAACATTGTCACCTCGGACGGCCCGAGTAAAACTGGATTTATAGTATAAGTCCCCCAAGATAGATTCCTCATGTCCCATTTTCTTGATATATTGCAGGATACCTTGTAATCTTTATATGATAGTATAATTTATGATATAATCAAATGACATAGATATAGGATTTTTTCATGTGCTTCAAGGCATCAGGTTAAAAAAGCGCGTTGAGCTCCCAAAGCCCACGTTTGGGTCATGTCTGAGTTTAGGGCTGTGGATGGAGCATTCAACTTGAAAAGTGTGTCCTGGCCACACGTGAAATTGTCCAAGTATGGAATTCCTCCAATCTTTTGCTGAATCTTCCCATTAAAGACGTTGATATCCCATTAATCATTGGCTGATTCCCATCATTTTTCGTGGTGAATTTGCCATTCTTTTTTAGGGACTTCCAAGTGATTTTATCGTTGATCACATAGGTACCCAACCTGATTATGACTAACAGTTTGCCATGGTATAGATGGCCCTAATCGAAATAGATGGTTTACCCAACTTAATAGCATGGTGGATCTTTCCATGGCAATGTTAAATAACCAGATGGTATTCATTTGGTTTCCCAACTTTTTAGGACAACCATGCCAACTCTTAGTTACTCTTGGTTATAGTTCCATGATTGTTCCTGAATGTTGGTGAAAATAACTGCCACTCTCGCTGGCTATAACTGGAAATATCCCAATCAACGAGAATCCCAATAACTGTAACATCTTTAACTGGGGATAACTGAAGATTACATTATCATAAACATTAATAAACATTAAACATTAATAAAAACTAAACATTAATAAACATTAGTAAACATTAAGAAACATTCATAAACATTAATAATTAAACATTAATAAACATTTGTAAACATTAATAAATGGATAACTTATCATATCTTCTCCCCAGTTCAGTGAAACGTCCCACCATTCGCACGCCGCTCGCCGAAACCCGCCCCATCTCCAGCAACTGCCGCGACCAGTCCCAGCGCTCGCCGCGCTCGGCCACCTGAAGCAGCCGCCGCGCGCTGACAACGCGGATGTCAAATGACCATTGTTCCAGCTATAGGGAATCTATAGGGAATCTATACTTACTATAGGGAATTATATAGTTGATATAGTTTATATAGTTACTATATCTATATCAATAGTTAAATATGTAACTATATGTATATATCTATAGTTACTATGTGGTATCTTTATCTATAGTTACAGTTACTATAGTTACTATATAGTTTATATAGTTGCTAATCATATAATAAAGTACTGAAATAATTTACTATAGTTACTATAGTTACTAATTACATGTTAAATCTCCATATATAGTAACTTGGCTATCATTGATATGGAGAGTTACTATTATCATTGATATGGAGAGTTGCTATTATCATTGATATGGAGAGCTACTATAATTCCATCTAGTATATCTGCAGGTATATCAAGGTCTTATTAGCCAAGTCCATAAAATGTCTGTAAATAAAGGTCTGCGATAGATTACTAATGAATACTATAAGAGGATAGTAAAAATTATGACAGTATACTTTGCAAGTATGAATACTATAGGAAATATAGTAAATCAAGGTATACTATCTGAAGATACTTGTTCATGAACATGGACATATAAAATAGTTCCATCAGGTATATCAAGGTCTTTTTTTTGCCAAGTCTATAATCCTCTATAATCCCGTGCCCCCTAATATCAAAGACATAGCACAAATGGTCCCAGGATCCAAGTGGATGGATACCCAACCTGGTTACGACGTTTACACTTCGCCATGGAAGCCATGGCCCTAATCGAAATAGATGCTTTACCGAACTTAAAAATGCATGGTGGATCTTTCCATGGCAAACTGTTAGTCATAACCAGATGGTAATTCATCTAATATCAATGGGAATAAAAAAGGATCCATTTTAATGGAGGTACGTAAACGTACCATATTTTGGGCCATATGAATTGTGGGGATATTCCCTTAGGCCTAAAGAATAGGCCAAAAAATGCCAAGGGATTGGTACCTCCAATCAATCGGTTCCTGAGTCATCGCCATTGACTGGAGAATACTTTATGGATACCCTCTGGTAAACTAACATAGCGAACTGGAAAATCACCATTTTTATTGGGAAAATCCACTATTAATGGCCATTTTCAATAGCTACGTTAAATTACCAGAGGATAATTCCATCATTTGGACTTGTTTGATCAGGATGATGCTGATGAATCCATCTGGATTGGACTTTGGATAATCCCGGAATAGTCCCAATTGGCGTCTCCGTCTGTTCGTTTGACGCAAAGTACAGTAAATGTTGCAAAGTATCGTTTGAAAAAAACGTGAAGAAGACCAAACAGCAAACATATGCTGGCTGAACCACCAGATTTCTGCGGATGTGAACGATCAACGCAGATACCAACCCTTCAGGGGTTAGTGGATCACCTGCACCTGGCTGGGGTTTCAACGGAAAATGGGGGAGTTTCCCACCCTGCCAACAGCGGAAGGGGGATCTGGCCATAGCACTGAAACCAAGAGAAACTGGTTTACCCTCTGGTAAACTGTCACATAACTGTGGAAAATCACCATTTTTCATGGGTAAATCAACTATTTCTATGGCCATTTTCAATAGCCATGTTAAATTACCAGAGGGTAAGTCACAGTTGAAAAGTACTGCCTTGGAACAACGGCTAACTTTGGATACAGCTCTACCAAAACCACTAGTTTTAGCCGTGTATCAAACATCTCACTGGGCTTCTCGGCTAAGAGCAGCATGTCATAAGCATCGAAGTCGGGAGTGATTTTGTCCTGGTGAGCAGATCGAAATCCAAAACAGGAGCTTTATGATCCAGTGATACATAGTGATACACTTCTGGAATGGTCGTAATGGTCGGAATCCTATCCCCCTATTTTTTTCAACACCCCCAAGAAACCATAGGGGGATAGGATACCACGACCATTTTTTTCGGCATTTGTTTGTTTTTTGGGGGTGTGAAATACCATCCGAAAAATACGTGAAAAACCATGGCTTCGTGGGACCATTTCGGAAGCATCCAAGGCCTTCCAAGGCCATGGGCCATGGATAAACTTTTTCCCCCATCATTTTTTCGTCACTATCTAGGTGAGTTCCGAGGTCCTTTCCCTTAAAAAAGACTCTCCGGCAACGTAAGATTATATATATATGTAAATAAATATATATATATATAGATACACAGTATGTATGTATGTATATATATATAAACATAATACATGGGTTAAATATGGATTAAATCAAAACATCCCATTTCCAGAAAAAAACACCAAATGGCGGTCAAAACATGTCAAAACTCGGTGCGTACCTTGGTTTTTTCACACCAAATAGCTGGCCTTTGGGAGAGTTCAATACTAAGGGCGATGTGCATCTACTGGTCGATGGTTCTTCACTAATCGACAGAATTCTGTGTCATTGATGTGTCATTTCTTTCGAAACAAAACTCATCAGCTGCACACACGTTTGAATGCTAAATGTCCCAAGGTTCACACGGTTCATCATGTTTCACCAAGCGTGCTGGGTTGATATCCCAATTGATGCATAGCCGCCATAGTTTCACAACCCACGATCATGGCATGTCAGAAAAATGACATAAAAATATCCATAAACGCCATTTGTTCAATGCCAATCAACTACCCCTCCAGTAAATTAACACAATTAGACCCTGGCAGTCACCGGGCTTGGAAGATGAGTTTTGTTTCATGTTTCAACTAACAAATTGCTATTTTCAGGGTCTCACAAAGAAATTTCAACTAACAAATAGTTATTTCTGGTAAATGTCCAACAAATTGCATCAATTTGCTATGTTTATTTACCAGAGGCTAAAAAATAAAACACAACAAGACACCATGGGTTTCCCCCACCAACTGATCCCCTTTCGCCTTGCGCATGTCGGTCCAGTAGCCAATCGCCAATGCCCAGGCATTCCCCTGCGGAGACATGGCAAAATGGGGAGTTCGGGCAAGAAAAATGGTGCAAAAACTGGCATGCCAAAGAAAAAATGGTGGGAAATTGGGGATTTCAACAATTTTCAATTATCCAAACTGGAGATATCCAACCTTTAAATCTGAAGACTTACAAGCTGATTCGGAAAAATAATCGGCAATGGGAATGTTCAGCAACACACATTGAAACACGAGAATCAAGGATTTCAAACTCATATGACTCATATCCTTGATCAGACTCGGATATGAATCAATGATGAATCAATGATACAGTAATCTTATAGAAATCATTTGATCACTGACACCAGAAAACATTTGGAAACTTCAACCAGCAGCCCTTTCTTGATCATCCCCTTGGAAAAAACCCAAAAAATCCACCCATGTTGGACCACGCACCTCGGTGGTATCCTTGGGACAGATGTCACCAACATACACCACCGAAAACGGGAATATGTCCATCGGCCTTCAATAACATGCTAGGAAATATATTTTTTAAAAATGGTGAAAGCATTGAGAATCTGTGATCCAGCGCGAGAACGGCTTACCCTTTCATCGTTCGCGGTCAGTCTATCAAACAAACCTTGCCCACGAATGCGAGAACTATTACAACAATGTCTAGATCAATCGGCGAGTCCATGTTCACCGTTTGGGTGGCCAAAATGCACATCAGCAAAATGCCATCAACAACTGGAATCTTCATTGAGGTATACCCCATGCGGTTAAAACAATGGGAAAAGTTGATGATAAACCACTGGCTTTTTTTCTTCTCTCTACATGTTTCCACAAAGATGAGAGCCAGCAACAGCAATTTTTAGTTCAGCGCTACCACTCAACAAACCGTGGTTTTACAGCTGGGTGGAAAAAATACCCCACTTATCCCCACTTTTGTAGCAAAAAGGATAGACGGATGAACCTATAACGAAGTCTTACAAAAGCCCTAAAACCCAGACGGTTCCCCAGATGGTCCGGCGCCAAGCTTCTGCACAAGCATAGAGCACCATGCAAAAGCTCTGCAGATTGGGCTTTGGAGACCGCGATGCAGCCTGGGTTGGGTTGGGGGTTACACCTCCGAAAAAATATCGATGATTCTCCCAATTTCCCAATGATTTCCCAATTAAGATTGGGATTTTGCAGCCAACTTTGGAAGGCAAAGACAGGGGATGTTTTTTTCCAGAGGGTGACCAGAGGGTGACCAGAGGGTGACCTGATTGTCCAAGACCTCCCCTGGATTTTGGTCAAAACGTGGTAGGAAACATACCCTCTGGTAATTTAACGTAGCTATTGAAAATGGCCATTGAAATCGTTGATTTACCGAACTTAAAGATTGTAATTTTCCATAGCTTTTTGTATGTTTACCAGAGGGTAGGGTTTATTAAAAAAAAACTATGGAATTAACAACATTAGGGATTATGAACCCATCACTATGGGGATGATGTTCAAATTATGAGGATGATGTTTACCAGAGGGTATCCATGAAATGACCATTGAAATATCCCTATGATATCCCATTAAATCACCATGTTCCATCATTTTCCAACCATTTTCCCACTTTTGTAGCTCTGCTGGTACCCTGTTTTGAGCACTCCGAAGCCTGGGCGTCCACGCGGATCGCATGTCCGCAAAGATGTTGAAGGCCTCCTTCCATCGATTGCCTGTGATCAGTGCCAGCATCAAGTCGTTGAACTCCTTCCAAGCAGCCAAAATGGGGAGCCGTATCATCCCATAAAAACTTTCTTGCGATCTTGTTGAAAATAGAGCTAATTATGAAGCAGATCTCTACACATATACATATATATATATATACACATATATAACCCCAAAAAATACAAAGAAAAGATACCAAAAGTAATTGGTCCACTTTTGGCCGGAAAGTGGATTGCACCCAATTTCGTCCTCCACACCAGGCTCCAATCGCTGGACCTAAGCGCCATGCTGAAGGAAGTAGAGATTTTCTTGCATCAGAAACAAGGATTTGCCTGGGAGAAATGGTGGTTTAATGATATTTAATTAATGGCAGTTCAAAAGATTTACCCTCTGGTTATGACTAACATAGCCATGGAAAATGGCCCATTTATAGATGGTTTACCTATAAAAAATGTGTTTTTCCATGGCTATGTTAAATAACCAGATGGTAATAGGATAATAATGGAACGTGCATGGGATATATATAATTGGATAAAACCGACAATATGAGATTTGGTGTGTCGGAAAATGCCACCAATACAAATGTATACACCCCAAATTGCAGCTTAAGTGGGATTAACCACAAAATTTGGGAGTACCCTATTTTGAGTATGTCTAAAATCTGGGGTAGCGACCAGAAACCAGGATAGATCTTGCTCTCCTAACAAATACGAGTAATCATCATCCCTAAACCCAAATGATTAGTTTCTTTAACCCATTTCATTACCATCTGGTTATGTCTAACAGTTCGCCATGGAAAGATCCACCATGCTATTAAAAACGGTAAACCATCTATTTCGATTAGGGCCATCGAAAAACCATGGCAAACTGTGAATGTCATAACCAGAGGGTACCCATGGTTGATTTCATCAAATCCCAATCGAATAGCTGATCCCATGGTGAATTCGTTGAAAAAAATCGCATCCGATTGTCCCATGTTTTCGTTAAGTTTCATTTGATTTGCTGAGGATTGCAAAAAAAAAAGAAACGATTCCCCACATGGTGGATTTTCCATCGGGAAAATGCGAAAAATCATCAGGACATTCTATGGAAAACCCACCATTTGTAGATCATTGTCCGAGTCGATAGTTGAGTTTCCTCATGGGTTTTCCACATCATATATCATATATATATATCATATATCATATGTTACTTTACCCGGCCCTGTTTTTTTTTGGGGGGGTGCCGGATGCTGTTTCAGGCTCCAAGAGACGCTCATGTCTTGGAAGAGACTCACGGCCGCCTCGTAGCTGTACCTGGAGAAAGACGTAGCTGTAACCTCTACAGTGAATAATTGTTGCTTTACTTCCTTTCTAAAAGATCATACATTCATATATATATATATGTTAATCTATATGATATAATATAATATAATATATATATGTCCCCCAATTCGGAATGGGATGATGAAAATTCTGATCCCCAAATGGTTAGTTACCCTCTGGTAAGCATACAAAAAGCTATGGACAATCACCACATTTTCAATAGGTCAATCAACGAACTCTAAATGGGCCATATTCTATAGCAAACTGTTAGTTTACCAGAAGGTAGATAGGTTCTATAAGTGACAACCCAAACTATTTGGATGTTAATGGATGTTAATGGATGTTAATGGATGTTGATGGATGTTAATGGATGTTAATGGATGTTAATGGATGTTAATGGATGTTAATGGATGTTGATGGATGTGAATGGATGTTAATGGATGTAAATGGATGTTAATGGATGTTAATGGATGTTGATGGATGTGAATGGATGTTAATGGATGTTAATGGATGTTAATGGATGTTAATGGATGTTAATGGATGTTAATGGATGTAAATGGATGTTAATGGATGTTGATGGATGTGAATGGATGTTAATGGATGTTAATGGATGTTAATGGATGTTAATGGATGTAAATGGATGTAAATGGATGTTAATGGATGTTAATGGATGTAGATGGATGTGAATGGATGTTAATGGATGTTAATGGATGTTAATGGATGTTAATGGATGTTAATGTGTTAATAACTTATAACCAGATATATCACCAGGCTCGGCGCACAAGCCGCGGTTGCAGGTGCGCATGGCTTCGCGGTAGCAGAGCCGATCTGCGTTAAAAAAAAAAAAAACGGTTTTGGAGAATGGCCCCACATCCACTGGATACCAACAATATGATCATCATGTGGGGAAAACCATAGGAAAACCATAGGAAAACCATAGGAAAACCCATAGGAAAATGGAGGTATACCGCTGGTTTACGATAGTTTACTATGGTTTACTATGGTTTAATATGGTTTACTATGGTTTAATATGGTTTAATGATGGGATGATTTGCTGGGATAATGATGGGATAATACTGGGATATTGATGGATATACCATCTGGTTATTTAACATAGCCATGGAAAATCCCTTATAAATGGAGGTTTATAGCTGGGAAAATCATCTATAAATGGACCATTTTCCACCGCTATGTTAAATAACAAGAGGGTAAAACCATCCCCCAGTCATCACCATTTTTATAGGTGGTATATGGTTACCACTTCCAAATGGGTGGTTTGTGGCATTGTTATACCCACCATAGATATGATAATCAAGTCCAATTATCACTGGTTTTCCCGGAAGTCCAACTACCATCTGGTTATTTAATAGTTCGCCATGGAAAATCACCATGCTATTAATAGGTAAACCATCTATTTCTATGGGCCATTTCCCATGGCTATGTTAGTCATAACGAGAGGGTATCTCTTCCTCCGGGTATAGCGAGCATATGCGAGCATTAGCTTCACCAGTGCCTGGTCCCCGCGCCTGGTCCCAGGGTCTCGTAGGACATTCTTTCCAGAAGATGCAACGACAACTTCCAGTAGAAACGCCTAGCTGGGCGACCCCAAGCTGTGTGGAATACATTGGATGATCGGATTGGGCAAAAAGGGAAATCTTACGGGACAAGCTCCATAGAAATCATGGGCAATTTGAGGAAAAATATGTAGAGCTTCCCGAGATTTTCGATGTTCCCTGAAACCAATCCATTGACTCATGTGGACCTTGACGGAGACACAGACCATTTGAGACGTTGATAGGACACGACAAAAATTGAGGGTGGGTGCAACCAACATGATGTATTCAATCAATGATCATATGGACATAACTATCCACAATGGGTATACAGTAGCCACAAGAATGATCTTAGCGATAAACCTGAGTGTGAATGAAATAAATCTAGGATGTTGGTAATTGGTTGCTGGCGTTTTGCCAAGAAGATAGCAGATATTTCATCAGCTATGCTTATTCATACTGTTGACACCAACCAAGTGCTCTTTCACAGATCTTGTCTTGAATATTGACTGATATCAGGCTTCAAGACAAATGATGATGATTGTGTGCACAGGGTCCAAATTTCATGCCCTAATCGTTTCTTTTGCCAACCTTTTTTCAGCGTACGGTGGGATCCACAGTGCTTGATCCAATTTTCCCCAGAATTGGTTTGCCGCGCTTACGAAATTCACAGGGAAGCCCTAAATCTAGGAGTAAACAACATGGCATCCCTCAACGTTCCAATCAAGGCATTGATGTGGATCAATCACAATTCAACGATTTAGTTTAATGGAAATGTTACAGGGCGGAACCTGGATTCCTTTGAATTCTGATTCATCCAGTGATTCACTTAGGTAAAAACCTCTAGATGTTGGGTGAAAACCATTGGTTCTTCCAATGATTGATCCGTTGTCAGGGCAAAACATGGTGAATACATGTGAATATCATTGGTGGTTGACCTAGCCCTCTGAAAAATATGAGTAAGTTGGGATGATGAAATTCCCAACTTTTTATGGAAAGTCATAAAAAAAAATGTTCGAAACCACCAACCAGTTATAAATCATCATTATTAACCATCATTATTAACCATCATTATTAACAATCATTATTAACAATCATTGTTAACCATCATTATTAACCATCATTATTAACCATCATTAACCACTAATATTTCATTGAAGTCTGAATATCACCAGTAGCCAGAACCACATCCGATGCCTGTCACAGATCCCCAGATCCCCAGCCACAGCCCAAGGATGCCCCTTGGGCCCCCAGACGGGCATGCTTTGATGGCCGCGCGATAATCCTCGAGGTTCTGCGGTTGGCCCTGCGTGACTGACGCTACTGCAGGGTGTGGCCGAAGGATGTTGGACCTTTTTGGATCTCGAGATGATGATGAAGCGAAAAAACATCCACGGGATCATGGGATATGCACTCCCTGATCTTGGATCTTGGGGGCAGTTGGATTTTCGATGTTTGCAGCTATTGTTCAAAAAAAAATCAACAACGAACTTCTGGGTTTTGTGTTTTGTTCTGTTTTTGCAGTGCAACTGTTTGGGAGCAGTGGCACTCAAACCAAAGTGAACCAGTTTTCAGGTAGATATGGAGTTTGATTCTTGGACGAAAATTAAAATTGGATGGAGACACGTTATTTAAAATTGATCAAATCATATCAAATCAAAAATGACCCCATCCTTTGTACTTGGGAGAATATTGAATATCCTCCCCACCTTCCAAAGATAACGAACTCGAAACTTTCGAAGTTCACCTCGCAACCCCTCCCCGCCCAGCGGCCCGCCCGCCCAGCGCACCAACTGCATCTCTTGAAAGAAGAGATCTAAAGCGTGGCTCCAGCGGGACAAAAGGCTCCTACCCAGACCCAGACCCATCAGAGCCAGACCCAGACCCAACACGGCATGCCGGGCAAAGGGACGGGTCATCCGCTTCATCTCCACAACTCTGAACCCCAGAAAATTCGGTTATCCTCTGGCCACAGGCAAGTGTGTTTTCTTGAAATCCTTCGTCATTATTTGTCATTGGTGATTGAAAACAAAGCACTTAGACTATCTTAGACTTACCATCTTAAACTATAACAAATTCCGGTTTCATTCACCATTGTGGAATATGGAGAAAGCTCCTGAGTCAGCTGAAAAATCATCTATCTAAACGGATCCATGAACCCATCCAGCGACCGGGGATCCCTGATGGCTTTAGGAAACCCCCAGGTGACCCTCCTCCGGCTGGGCGCCACATCCCAGAAGGGTCTCAAGGCCTCAGCGCCTCGCCGCGCCTGGAATTTTCAGAGGAGAAATCGCCATGAGAACTTGGAAAAATGTTGGGAAACTCTGGAAAATCGGAAAAAATATTGAAAACAATTTCGGATTTGTTTTTGAAAATTTGAGGAAATCATGGAACAATTTGGGAAACATTGGGGGAAATCATGAAAAATTGGAACATATAGGGGGAAATCATGAAAGACTTGAGGGAACACCATGGTTTGGAGAAAATTGGTGGGAAATCATGATTGGAAATGGTGAAATATTGAGAACAATTGGGAAAATCCTGGACCAGGTCCTGGTGAAATGAGGTGTCAAAATCGGTGATTCGACAAGTGTCAAAACTAGGAAAAAACACGAAAAATCACAGGGACCACCCAGGGATTTGACCAGAAAAGTGAGGTAAAAAAAGGGCCGTTCTCTGTGGGATATGTGTCACAGATCAAAATGCAAAAAGAAGCTGCCAGAAAAGGGGCCACGATCACGTGTTTTCTTCTTTTTCTTGTTCTTTGTTTTTCTTCTTTTTCTTCTCCTCGAATTCACAGATGCAGAAATGCCGAGGCAATTTTCTAAGCAATTTCATTCAGGACCTATCAATATGCAAAATCCATCTAAGATCACCTGAAAAACTGCACTTGGTGAATTTCTCATCTTCAACTTGTGCGTCATTGGGGATGGTTTTATGTAATGGTTTTGGGTCCGTCACATTAAACCTTTATTGGTTACATATCCCACTATATCATACTATATCCACATAATATATATATATATACCCATTGAATACCACTGATTATGGTTATTCAATCTTCTGGTTTGCTATTCTGATGGTGCGGGTTATGGTTATAATCAGCGGTTGTGATGATGTTTAAAATACCATCATCATAGTTAGCATTGTGGTTAATGCCTATAGTATAACCATGACACATGTGAATAATTATATCCATATCCCACTATATTCACCAAAAGAACATTATACCTGCAGTAAACATTTGTTGATTCCACATCCCAGTATATCCACAAAAGAAAATATGTACTCATTCAACGCCACTGATTCTGGTTGGTTACAGCCCTACTTGGAATTGCAGTTCCGCTTATATATATAATATTGGGGCAAGCTTGTAAATTCCCATACCCATTAGTTAGTAACCTCTGGCCTGCCCCAAGTGGCTTGTTTTCACCATTGAAATTCCCCAGCTGCAATTCCGTCCCCAGCTGCAATTCCCATAGCCTCCTCGGCCAAGTTCTCCACCGTTTGATGCACTGCGACTTGGATGCCACGTTCGCGCCTGGGATGTGGTGGGGATGTGGCTGGGATCTCCAGCTACCAGGTGAACATCGATCAGTCCCATGGCTATCTGAACTCCGAACGACCCCTTGATGGCCTAACAAAATTGACCATGGCACATGTAAAAACCCCCAAGATAGAAATGTTTTGCTCACTCTTTGAGTAGGAATCGACTGTCCTATCTTTTTGAGGCTTGCTAACTGTAAACCATACAAATGGTCTCCTAAGCAGCTATCCCCTGAAAAATGGCAAGTTAGGTTCAGTTGTATTCCAAGATCTGCCCAGTGCGCAGATTTCCACCAAATGCTTAAGTGTTCAATACGAGCGCTGGAAACATGTTCGAATGGTACAGTAGATCTGTGGATCCAAATGATTCTCGTTTTGCATTTGTTGAAGGAGTACATTTTTTTCGCTAGGGCCGCTAGGGCCGCTAGGGCGGCTGGGGCGCACCACTTTCTTGTTGGTGTTCTTGGCATTTTCGCTTTCATTGATGCCTTACAGTAATTGCATATCACGAGGCCTCCGTTTTGGTGACATTCTGAAACCTCGGCCACCAGACGCTTGCAGCAGTAGATCCAAAGCCCCCTGCCAACCTAAGATGCAAAAACGTGAATCCATCCAAAGCTGGCCTGGTGGGCCCCTTTTTCGAAGTGGTGGGCCCTTTTTACGTGGGGATGGGGATGTCCAACTGGATAAAAATTGATGAAAAGCAAGGTTTCATGCCCGGAACGCCATTTTGTCACTCTTTTGGCTCATGATTCCAGCCTCCTGGCACTATGACTGCAGAAACAAGGCCGGCCGGGCCATTTCACGTCCTGCGGTTCTGCGTGGGTCGTGACAGGTCTCGGTGGGCTGAGGGTTCGCCGTGCTCCTTGCGGTTCTCGGCCAAGTTGGACTGCCAGGGTATCGGCCCACGCGGCCCATGTCTCGCAGAAGTTTTGCTTTGGATCAGCAACACGACTTGCCCAGCTCCAGTGATTCAAGCGCCTACAACTCCTCGGTGCTCCTGCACACTGCCCAATGTTTTCACATCAGGGTGCAAGGCTTTAGGAGTGCACAGAGCCTAACCAACCAGATTGAGATGGGTTTCACAAAACTTATCCAAAAAAGTGGATTGGATAATTCATGAAATCATGCCAAATGCGCAGAACTGTAGTTGCCATATGTCAGCGGCTAGGCATATCCTGGCCACTGGGCTTCAACTCCCAAAAAAACGTCCTCTGCACCCGCGTCACGTTGCCATGGACAGTGCCCCAATCCAACACGTCCAACGGCAACGGGACGTCGAAGTCCGCCGGCACGTTGCGATGCGTCAGCTTCGGGTCGATGTACAGGTAGGGAATCTCCTGGAAGGCTGGCGCCAGCGGATTTTGGGTGGGGACTCCTGGGAAATTCCGGGGCCAAGTGTGATAGAACCAAGAAAAATGGAGATTACACACATATGTTTATATATATAGTATATATTGTATATATATATTGTATATATTGTATATATATATATTGTATATATTGTATATATATATATATTGTATATGTATATTGTATATGTATATTGTATATGTATATTGTATGTACATATATATATATATATGTACAAACAGAAGCAACTGCCCAAGGCGGTCTCTAACAGTGACAGTACATTCCTAAAGAAAAGCAGCTCCATGAAAGCACTGAACCAATCGAAACCGCCTTGGAACCACAACAACGAACTTGAAATTTAAATCGCTGGAATGTGCAACTTCGATGTTGCTGCTTTCAAATCTTGCTATTTCATATTATTTTCTGGTAATTTCCATCACAAAGCAACATGATGAATTGGATTTTGAATTTGAACTACCCTCTGGTAATTTGTTACATAGCTATTGAAAATGGCCATAGAAATCGTTGATTTACCCATGAAAATAGCATGGTTATTTTCCAGTTCGCTATGTAAACGTTTACCATTTCGGGTATATCCATCAATATCCCAGTCTTATCCCATCATTATCCCAGCAAATCATCCATATTAAATCCTATAAAAAACATCAAAAAACATTTCTAAACCCACTAAACCTCCATTTTCCAGCAAATGTAGACCCTTAAATCCTATAAAAAACCATAGTAGACCCCTCTGAAAGCCAGGCATTCTCCAAGTTCATCCCGCCAGGATCTCCTTCCAACGACCTGCTGGGAAGATCCACAGAAACTCGCAGCCCTCACTGCCGGATTCGATGCCATGCACCTGACGCGCTGGGATGTTCACCTGGGATGTGGCGTTTCGCGTGGCGTTTCGCTCGTTGCGCCGGGAAAACTGGGGATGTCATCGCTAAATGGATCGGGATGCACAAAAAAAAACTGGATGTTGATGCCAGAAATGCCAGAACCAAGGTTATTTCCACATGAAAATAGCTGTTATAGCTCCATCTTCAATAGAAAATCATAGGTTTCAAGGCATCTCCAGATGTTTTTTGGTTTTTGCCGTGTTTTGTGCCTCGAAAAGCTCGGCGGTGCCAACACACATGGAGATGGCAAACAGGTGCCACATGGGGGGATCAACAACCAAAACTGGGCAGACTGACCCTGGAAAGGGGAGTTATTGTGCAACTATTAAGCCTATCGGTTTACGGATTTTGACCTACTGCTTTACCAAAAACTTTTTTCATTGACCAATTTGAGCAACAAATCCACCAACCAATATAGGCTTCAGCCGCGGCATGGCAATAGGCCTATTGCCATGAACTCCCAACGAACAAAATCTAGGTGTACCGCCCAAAAAATCCCCTGAGGAGATTCATTCAATGCTCGGTATTTGACAAACGGCACTCCAAAGGTCCAGTGGTCCAGGGCCATTTTATTCAACACATCATACCTGATGGTTAATGATGGTTAATGATGATTAATAATGGTTAATGATGGTTAATAATGGGATTAATCATGGGATTGTAAATTCCTTGAACTAACCAGCCCTGGTGAAAATGGTTTGTAAGCTGGCCCCGGCCCATTCACCAGTTCTGTTGAATGTCCCTCCGTGTCTTGCTCTTTCTCCATAGATTACAAAGAGCTTGCAGACTCCCTTCATTGTGCGGGCAAAAACCAGCTACCTAAAAGGGAACTGTTGGATACTGAATGTTTGATGTGGTGAGGTTGTCACAATTCACCCAGTATCTGTGGTCATCCATAGGTTGAATCCTATTCTTTATCTACACAGAAGTAAAACGTTGGCCAAAAAAAACGTAACTATAACATTTGGTGATTTCATCCAACATGACTTTTTTGTCACGGGCAATCCACTCACCATGTTTGTCAGTGAAATTCCTTAATCCCACTAAATCACAAAAAAAAAAAATGTCAGTTGGGATGATGACATTCCCATATACTAATGGAAAATAACATTCATGTTCCAAACCACCAACCAAACCACATTTTGAGCGACGGGGCCAAAAATCGCCATGTCACATGCAGCCCAGGTGAGATCTCATGCTTCAGCAATTTTTCGGTGTACTCACCCAGCTTCACCTTTTTTGCGACCGTGAGGCATGTAACCCACCAACAGACATGGGAATTCAATGAGGATTTAATGGGAGTTCATGGATCTTACTGGTGATTTAATGGCATGCTCATGGATTTTAATGATGTTTTAACATAGTTCAACCAATCAAACTGGGGATTCAACCAATCAAAAGCTGATTGAATCACCAAGAGAAACTCGGTGAACCGACGGGTAAACCAATCATTCAGCTGGTGCAAAAAAATCCTTCCAGAGATCAACGTGGCAAACCAAATGATCAATCCTATTCTTGTGAAGGTTTATTCGCAAAAAAAAAACAACAGCACAATTCAAATTCTACATGTGGTTCATTTTTGTATTCGTGGTTTCTCACATGAACTTCACCCCCAAATCCCCACAAACCCATCCCAATTTTTGTGGCCCCCGTGCCTGGCCGTTGCCTCGAAGAAAGTGGTAGATCTCTCCGTAGGGCTCCGGATGGAAGTGGCTCGGCAACTCCTTGAAGGGACCCAGCCGCAAGAGGCCTCTGCGAACGGAGAAGGTTGGATCACTGGGATTGAAGGTCAAATGTTATTGTACATGTGTGTATATATATATAATGTATATTATATATAGTATATATGTAATGATGTAATGTATATTATATATATAATATGTATGTATATGTATAATATGTATATATATATATACACGATTGTTTGCCTATTTATATCCTACCTGCTAAACCCTTAGGTTGGAAAAAACAACTCTGTTTCCAGAAAACCTGGTTTTTTGCAAACAGTGTAGAAAAAAGTGCTCTAGAGCACTTTTTACCGTTCGAGGCTATTCTTGGGTCTTTAGGGTATATCATTTCCAATCTCAGGTGAACATAACTGTATAGAGGGAGATGTTTGTATATATTTAAATATACATATATATATATTATATATATATGATATTAAGAATACATAGAGGTTTCCTGAAAATTGCACATGCATACAAACACATGCATATACACTATATATATATATTTGTAATCATCAACATGTGGGATTGAGAAACAATAATATAGCGCACCAAGGCACAAAATTACATGTCCTGTTCCCAAATTCAATTTATATATCTTATGAATGGTCTGATTGGTCTGAGGCCAAACTCATAGAGGTAACTAAATACCTTCGTGGGAATGTCAACCTCCGGCTCCCGGAGGAATGGAAGCAATGCTTTCCAACAAGACTGTGATCAAGTTTGATCAGAGTGGTTATGGGGAAAGGTATACCCTAAATACCAACAAAATGCTTTGAAACAATTTCACTGCCTACATATATTCGATCAAATGGTTTTGAGGGACAGGTAGGCAGCTGCAGGGAACCCTGAAATTGTAAACTTCATTTTTCTGAATGGTCAGGGGGGCATGTTGACCCGGGAGCACCCATGGATTGCCAAATATTGGCTTTGTCACTTTTGTCATGGTTTGAATGGTGGCTATCTGGGATTTTTTGACCCACAATGGAAAATAAACAGGAACCTTCGGGTTTTTAAGCGTTTTCCAAAAAAAAAGAGAAAATCAAGAAAAACTAAAAAAAAATAAAAAAATGGAAAAAACGGATTGAAAAAAAGCGTAAAAATTACGTAAAAAAAGCGTTCAGATTGGAAATTACCGTTCAAATCCAATTGCGTAAAAAAAGCGTACCCGTTCGAAAGCGTTCAAAAAGCGTTCGAAAAGCGTTCGAAAACCGTTCGAAACCGTTCGACATTACGCAAAATTTTACGTAAAATGAAAAACTTTTCAAGATCCAAACCATGCCGTCCCCAAAGTCACCTGGACCACTCTGGGAAAACTTGATTAAAAACATTGACCCTTTTCAGATTTACTATCCGCAGTTGACGTGCTGGAAAAGATTTTGCCGCAGTGTACTAGAGGTTACACCATAATTTTGACGGTATTTTGAGACTCATATATCCCTTTTCAATTTACATCAGTTTTACTGACTGGGATGTGCATGCATTTATAGCTTTTGATTGGCAATTATATAATTTTTCAGTTGGCAAAGCAAACGTCTCAGTCCTGTGGTTGGTTTTTTGTTTCAGCAGTATAAGCCTCACAATCCCAAATCCTGCTAGATCGCGTGAGAAAGGTCAGATGAAATTTCCCCTGATTCCAAAGATTCACCCACTGGAAGAGATTCTTTTCCTCATGGAACACCAAGCCAAGTTCAGTCAATGGGTTTTGAATCCAATGGTAGAGAGTTGCAGTCTGGATGAGGACTTTATTGGGCATGCTGCCTACATAACCAGACATGTATCACCTCGCTTGATGGCATTGCGTACCTTCAACCGGTACCTTACCCAGATCATGCTGGCTTGGCGAAGCTGATAGCCTGCAGTTGTTTCCCTCTATAAGACTATACATATATATACATATACACATCAGCTTTATATTGGTGTTTTCTACAAACAACAGCCAGTCAGCTTGAGTTTGGAGGCCATCGTAAGATATCATGCCAAATGTTATGATTTAGTCATTTTGCAAGGAAAACACCTCTAGAGCGTAAAAAAGCGTTCGGATTGGAAAAAACCGTTCCAGAGCACTTTTTGCGTTCAAAATGGCAAAAAACCACGTTTTCTTAAAACAGAGCAGAAAAAAGCAACCTGGAGGGTTACCAGGTATTTATTTTGTTTGCCTATTTATGCATTTATATTTGCATATACATATATTCCCTATAGATTCCCCAAATGCTGGGAAACTCCCGGTTTGGAAAATAGACAGTCGCCGAAAGCAAACAAAGGATAGTGGTGGTATGACTCCGGTATAACTTCGACAAGAATGCTGGCACTATGGGATGTAATGGACATAGAACCAAAAAGATTCTGCTGTGGGAAATCCTGATTTTTGCCCCTCTGTCTGAGATGCATGTCTGTTGCTTACCTATTTTATACAGTCTATTTTATGAGCATCTGAATGGAAAAAATATTGAAAAACATGGCCGTTGGAGTACACCATTTCCAAACAAATATCTCTGAGACAAGCCTCAGGAAACCTGAAGAGTCCTATGGAAAGAATTCAAAATACAGAACCCACAAAAAAAAGATGCCAACTAAATGAGGGAAAAATCTGAGTCCATCGAACCTGAAAAAAGCAAAAACGCTGCGCCTCCGGTCAATCCAGTGATGCTCCCATCTTCAGACAGGGTCAGTTCCTTCCATTCTAATTGCTGTCTCGCAGCCAGAATTGGATTCCTGGGCTGCATGCTGTGCTGCCAGGGAAAATCCCGGTCGTCTCGCAGGAAAAAAGTGCAAAATGTTGAAACTATCCAGCAAATACATGTGTTCATCAGTAACATTTGCCATTAATGTCAACCCTGGATTAATAAACCCCAAACGGTTGTTTAATTGGGGGGATACCATAAAAAAGTATCAGATGCAATTACTATTTGGGGGTACGTACCCCCCCTAATGAAAATCAACCATGGTTTAGCGAAATCCGGGGTTGACATTAATTATTGTTTATAACGGCTAATGCTGTTCTGAATAATGGTTAATGATGGTTAATAATGGGATTAATAATAGTTTATAAATAGCGCCATAATAATGGGATTAGTTTATTTGCCACCCCATTTTTGATGGTTTATACCACCTATAAAAAAAAGGTGATTTTGGGGATGATTTATGACGTTGTTTTATCCACATTTGCCATTGGCATTACCCTCTGGTAATTTAACATAGCTATTGAAAATGGCCATTTATAGTGGATGTTCCCATTAAAAATTGTGATTTTCCAGTTCGCTATGTTAACGTTTACCAGAGGGTATTGGTGGCGACATGTGGATAAAACCATTATTCACCATTATTAACCATCATTAACCATTATTCACCATTATAAACTATTATTAATCCCATTATTCACCATCATTAACCATGGCATTTCGGGTGAAATATGGTGACCGCCGTAGCTTCTCATGCTTCGAGCGCCATGAATTCCACCGACTTCCGTCCGAATCCACGAAGAACGGCGCTGAGTCCGTCTCCGCCGAAGTTCGGGCAGCGAAGCATCCCAGCCACAAAGTCAATACAGGATGGGGCCCCATAGTTAGTTTATAAGTATAATAACAATAGTGTATGATACTTATAACTAAGTTAGCTAAGTTGGCTTTTAACTATAACAATAGTCTATGATACTTACAAACTTATAAGTATATTAGCTATATTTAGATGGGTTCATAAAGCAACAAACATTTCACTGCGGGGGCCCCATCCGCCCGTAAAAAGGCCAGGACCCAGGACTCCTTGAGCCAAAAGAGTTGGGAACAGGTCGAACAGGTCCAGCGCTTTCCTTTCCAACTCGATTGATGCCCGTATGGAAATTCCAAAATTATATAACTGATAATAATAATAACTATAACCAAAATAAACTAACCAAAATTATGAAAATTGAACTTCTCATAAAGATAGGAATGCAACTGCTAATGAGAAGTTCAATTTCTGCTTATGATGGTGAATGGTCCTCTCTGCTTTTAAAGATGTCATTTTTTGCACTGGTCTTTGATATATTGGTACCTTGCTTATGTCTTGGCAAATTACTAAGATATAGTTCCCAAATCTGAATTCTGCCACATTTTTTCTGGAAAGAATCCCCAAGGTTCTTTCTGTATGGCACCAATGCCACCCCATTTTGCTGAGGCATTTTTCGACAGCTGCGACTGGACTGCTTGGATCCCAGCTTCTGCATCAGCTTCCTTTGAAGCCAGGTGATATACACAGAGCTCGCTCACATGCACTGATGCTTGAGGCCAAAGTGGCGACACTCCTCGGCGCCAAAACAGCGCCACCACTGGTTGAGACCTATGAAACCTATTTAAAAAAAACGACCCTCCGGTGTCATCAAACATGGTGGGCTTTTTTGTGAAATCCCCAAAGTAAAAGGGTGGTTAAAGCTGGGAAAATCATCGAACTAAATGATGGATTTTCAAGCTAGCCATGTTTGATTCTGGGAGATTGACAGGGGTCTAGGTTGCTTTGCTGTAACAGTCCACTATCAATTTGAGTCCATAACTATCCATAACTACCATTGCACATCATTTTGCTACAATTCATGAGAAGTCTCATCGATGACTGCAGTCTTATCAAGCAAGATCATGCCATCTGGCTTGACCTTTTAGCCCAAGCAAATCGCGTGGCAAATCCATACGACTTTGCAAGTATGGCAATGTCGCACTACCCCGTACTCTCGCATGTGAAGAGCTGAATTAAACTCCCGAGAACAGCTTGTTGAGGGAGAAGTTGTAAGGAATTCTCTCTAGATGATGGCAATTTGATGGCAAGAAAAGATACAGTAGTTGTCCTGCCATTTTCCCCTTAAACCAACAAGATCTGATTGATTCTGATTGCTTATATCTCCATGTCTGGTCGCATCTCCCCATCTTTCTTGGTGATTTATTGTGACCTAGCATCATCTGCAACTGCCACTGCTGCATCTCCTGTAACAGTGCCACAGCTCTCTGCCATTGGTCGCAGGCGCCAGCAGCACCGATGGCTGTAGCGAACAGGATCCCGTCCACCAGACGGTTCTCCATCGATTCCTTCAGCAAAGACATCGCGTGTTGCCATGCGCCACCTATAGCAGGGTGTCCTAGTGGAGAAACTGGCCCAGTTTATTGATGCGAATTGGGGATATGCAGGGGGGAAGATAGTTCATATAATTGGATGTATTGGCAACAAGAGTAGGATATTTAGAACAAAGCGATGTGAAATGATGGTTTACTCTGTGTATTAGCAACAAAAAAGAAGATTTGCAGCAAACAACAATCCTAATTCAAACCTTTTCAAGAAAGATAATCATCAGCAGGTATAATTTTCTTGTCCCGGCTTTCCCGGGCGTGGGGTGCTGCACACCCCTGAAACAGAAACAAAGCCTGCCTCTCTCATAAGCACTGATGGCTGACGTCAACATGATCGCATCCGATTCCACTCGTTTCTTTTTGACCTCCTCCCATAGCCAGAATGCAGCTTGCCACTGGGCACCCAAGGCATATGATCTCTCAGCTAATGCCACTGCTGCCACTGCTTCCTGCGTCTCCATTGGTAGATCCACCAAATTCAAGGCCAATTGCCATCCTCCACGAAAAAAAATGTCCCAGTGGACCATGAAAAAATGGGTGGATCTCGAAGAATTTTTGCGTGGATTATAAAGAGGGCATCCAAGATCCCAAAAAAATATGGGACGCAGACATATCTTCAGGCTGTTCTGATCAACTTGATCTTTCAAATCTGCAAAACAAACCATTTCCCCAAGATAAAATCCCCAGATTCTAATATGTTCTATCGTTCTATGCACCAACACATCCACCCCCCATCCTCCCACCGAAAGACTCGCAGACGCCACGGCGTGGTACGTCACCGCCGTGCTCCGCAGACCCTGTCGCTGTACCTGGCTCAAGAGCTCAAGCGCTAGCTGCCACTGGCTGCCACGTTCACAGGCGCTGATGCATGCATTACACGTGATCCTAGGTGCTGCTTTCCAAGGCAGTGAAGCACTGAATTTCTAGTGGTTTTAATGCTCATAGCCATCATATGGCATAATACAAAAGGTAAGGATATGTATATATATAAGTATATATATATAACATACATACATACATATATATATATATGCAGTATATACATATATTATATATACAGTATATACATATATTATATATACATATTTATATACATATATATATATATACCCATACCCCCAACTTATGGGGATAAAATCACCTTTTTTTTACTGGGTCATGGTGTTTTTTGGTCAACAAGACCTGGAGGTAACCATCAGAGGGGATGACTGTGGGAGGGATCTGGAAAATCTCCTAATTTAGATCATGTTCCCATTACAACCTCGATTTCCCACATGCCCATCATCATATATAATATACACATATATAAATCATATAATATGTCCTATACATATCTCAGTACATATCTCAGTACATATCCCATACATGTCCCATGACATATCTCATGACATATCTCAGTACATATCCCATGACATATCCCCAAGGTTTGCTAACAACCATCGAGGATCACATTGATCCGCAGTTCCAGCTCTGGAAGCCGCGCCAGCAACTGCAACGCCTGCGGCCATTCCTCGCGGCAGGCGCTGATGGCAGCGCTGTAGCTGATGAGATTCGCGGCCACCTGCGGTGCTCTGTTCAAACCCAATTGGAAGGGTGATTTCACAAGGAAAAATGATGGATTTATGCAGGTGAAACCTGAGTTCAGGATTTTGCAGGGACTCACGGTGGATTTTGAGCACCAAACATGCGGAACATGGGTGCTTTCACTATGAAAATCTGTGGATTTGAGTACCAAACAGGGGGAAAATGACAAAGACATCAATAAACTTTAATTAACTTTGTCAATCCCTCTGTTTGGTACTAAAATCCCTGTTTGGTACTCAATAAACGATGTCAATCATCATTTAACTTTGACCGTGACCTGTTTTTGGTCCATCTCCCCCAACAACATCAGCGCACGCTGCCATTGACTGCCCTTCTCACATGCACTGATTGCAGCACTATATGTGATCACATTGGCCTTCTTGGAGAGGTCCTGAGATTATCATCATCAGCTCACAACATGCAGGACTGATCCGGTTGAATATCAAGGGCCTTCGGTTTCGGTAAAAAGTAAACCACTGGATAGATATGACTCGACATTCTAACCATGGCTTGGGGGACGGGATAAGTATGCTTGGGATTCTTTGTGCATCTCAGTTGGATTTGCTATGTGACCAACCCCAGATATCCCCAGATATTCAGAAAATGTCTGGTCCTTTTTCTCCATATCTTCCAGTAGTTGTAGGGCTCTTCGCCATTGCTTGCCCTTTTCACAGGCACTGATGCCTGCATTATAACCTTGTGGCTGCTGTCCCGGAAAGAAAAAGAGAATCTACTAAGCATCAAAAAGAAAAAAAACAAAAACCTCGAAACTCCCTGTCACAAAAGGTGACAAAAATCTTCATTTGCCTACATAATTAGTATATCAACAGATATCAACAGTTACATCAACAGCATGTTCTTCCTTTCCACCGGGTTTCCCATCACTGCATCCAGGTCGCTGATCACATCTCCCAACTGCCTTCCTTGCGCCTCCCGTAGCAGTTCCAGCGCCACTTCCCACTGCGAAGCGCGTTCGCAGGCGCTGATGGCCGCGTTGTAGGAGATCTGAGACGCTTCGAATCCTCGGTCGATGGGACTGGGAGATCAATGATGGGTTGGGAACTGGCAAAATGACCCAAGTTGTGGATATTTAATGGGCTTTTCGGGTGATTTCATAGGGATTCAATGGGAGTTGTTTCGTGGATATCAATGGTGTTGGAAAATATCCCACTTACTGGTGCGTTAAAAACGTAGAGAATGGATGGGTTGGGAATGGGGTTGCTGGGATTATTATTGATAGTTAGCCAGTGGATCATTCCCTCATTCCCTACTAAGCACCACTAAGAAAAGGGACTGTTGTTGCAGAGACTAAGAAAGCGGTGACAACGACCAAAACGATAGCGAAATGACACCATCTCTCACTGTCGAATCACCAATGACAAGCGAATGAAATAGGAAACTTGCGCGACTAGCGGGTTGCTATGAACCACCAAAAAAATATTCTCCAGTAGCGCCACGAAACCTTTCCGAAACGCACCAAACCTTGCCTCTGGATTCCTACTTGAGGGAACAGCTAAGGAGTAATGTATATAGTAAGCTGATGGGTTGGTGATGTCATGAGTGGATGCTTGAGTAGACTAGTAGCATCAGTGAGTGGTTCATTGCACCTGTAGCTCAAAAGTTTCCCATCAAAAGCTTTTTGAATTCACCGACCAGATGCGTTTCTCTTCCATTTCTTCCAACAATAACAGAGCCATTTCCCACTGATCTCCACGTTCGCAGCTGCTGATGGCAGCATTGAAGGTGATCACAGTGCATTGACAAATTCCTGAGACCCCGATGTGTCAGGGGCCCTGGGCTTTGGAAAAGTGACTCTTCATATGGAGGTTTAGTGGGTCTACTATGGTTTTTTATAGGATTTAATATGGATGATTTGCTGGGATAATGATGGGATAAGACTGGGATATTGATGGATATACCCTCTGGTAAACGTTTACATAGCTATAGAAAATCACCATGCTATTGATGGCTAAATCAAGGATTTCTATGGCAATTTTCAATAGCTATGTAGCAGTCATTACCAGTGGCTGCCCTCCACCAATCAACCATGGCTTGCAAATCCCAGAACCAAATGGGCATAGCGCACAGTAGGCAGATTCATCGTCCACTGAGCTTTGGGGGCCCAGCTCAAAAGCCCAAATGATCTACCGGACCCGGCAATCAAACATGGCAAGCTGGGAAAATTCATCCGATGAATTTCCCAAAAAAAAGAAACTAGAATTCATCCGATGAATTTCCCAGCTAGCCATGTGGGTTTGTCTGAAAATAGTGTACCCCTAAACCCAATGGTTAATGATCATTATCCCAAAAATAAATGGCTATTTCATTGGGAATATACCTTATTTTCAGACAAACCCATGTTTGACTCCCAAGGGTAAAATGGATAACTGTATGGCCTAAGTTCAAAATGACCCCTTCAGATCATCCCGAATGTTGGTAGCTTGGACAAAAACTTCCCCAGTTTTGACTGGATAAATGTGAAAAACCAGGAAAAACCCAAGTTGAAGTCATTCAAAGGTATCAAAACCAAGTCGAAACGGCATTTCTGTTGGTGTTGATATTCCATTGACCAAGAGTTTCAGTATCACAAAATCATTCCATTCATGAACCACTTCAGCTACTTTGACGTGAAACTTTAGCAACTTCCATGGATGACCAGCCCAGTCCCCGGCCTTCGACTTCACGGAGCAAACTCAACGCCAGGTGCCAGTCACAGGCGCTGATGGCAGCGTTGTAGCTGATGATGGTGCAGCGCAAGCGCCTCTCCTCCGGGTATCAAACATGGCCTTTCAAAGAAACCATGAAAAAAGTGGGAAACCCCATAAACCTACCATTTCGGGATGACATTTTACCATTTCGAAAAAACAACAAAAAAAACAGTGATATTGGGGATGGTTTATTGGGTTTTCCACATTGGTTAAATGATTTTTCCACTGACATGCCCATTTATTTGGACGATTTCCCAGCTAGCCGTCTTCGATTATATAATGGAGGGAAAAATGCTAGTTGTTGGTTGATAAATGTTTGGTATTGATGATATTGATATTGTGGAATTGTGGACATGAATGGTATAAAGGACAATGCAGTGACCAGTGTGTCGTTTGGTATTTGTGAGCCATGTCCTGGGACCATACATTCGCTGATGTGGGGATTCCTATCCACACCTTACAGCTTAGATCGTTCAAAAGTTTGGAGATGAAGCAACCAAAGTCACGGTGTTTGGGTGTTTGAAAGGCGTGTGTTTTTTCCCCAAAACTCCCCATCGTTGATTGTTGGAAAATTCCCACTTTCCCGGCTCAAATCCTTCCATTCGCTAAATCTCTGGTTTCTATGGCTTACCCGAAATGGAAAACGTTAACAAAAAGCGAACTGGAAAGATCCACCATGCTATTAATGGGAAAATCCACTATTTCGACTGGGTCATTTTCAATAGTTATGTAACAAATGACCAGAGGGTATATCCATCAACATTTCAGTATTATCCCATCATTATCCCATCATTTTCAATAGCTATGTAGCAAATTACCAGAGGGTATCCCATTAAATCACCATTGAAATCCCATTAAATCACCATTTTCCATCATTTTTGAAATGACCAGAGGGTAAATCAGCTCAAAATGCCTCTTTGGTGAACTCCCCATGTCGTCTCCCCGCATCCGCGGCATCCGCGGCGTCCGCGTCTCCTGTAACTGCCCCAGCAAGTGCAAGGCCCGCTGCCACTGGCGGCTCTTTTCACAGCAGCTGATGGCCGCCTGTCACGGGAAACAAACGAAAAAATTGGTATTCACCATAGTAACTATATATATATATATACATACATATGCATATACATATACATATACATATACATATACATGTATGTACATGCACAATAGTAACGGTAGAAAATTATAGCAACTGGATATGTACGATAAACATTGGGAATGCAGTAAGCCAAATCTCCATGGTTTTAATCCCCCTTTTGGAGGGTAAGTTAGAATGAATCCAATTACTGGATATTCCAAAAATTAATAAGTTCTTGGTTGCTACAGGGTTTTATGACCAATGTTGCAAGTTGTATACATATAATATATATATATATGTTAATTGGGTTATAACTTAGAGCTTGTGATGTTCAGTTTGTTTGGGTGATGTTCTTAACGGACAAATGCAATAAATTACAGGCAATGTCAAATAATACCATCTTAATATGTTTGAACCAATTTTTGAGAGGTAGCAATTCATTTTGTTGATGCCAACGGGATCTAATACATACCAATACTATCTACTGTAGTACTGGCAATGGTTGCAAACATGTTCTATTTACTGTAAATCATTCATCATTCTTGGAACTAATAACATGGTGTCGGTGCTTCGTCAGACTGAACTTGGGCATGATCCCCCAGGAATGTCGCGTCAAGGAACGTTGTAGCTGATCACATCTGCTTGAAGTTCTGATTCAAGGCCATTCATCAAAACCAGAGCAGTTTTCCAGTCCTCAAGCTGGTCATGGCAACGAAGGACATGGCTTCCAAGTGACTTGTGAAAAAAGGCTCCAGGGCACTAGGTGCCAACTCAGAATCACAACCAGGAGGAAAAACCGGTCTCAAACTTGGAAGTCCGATTGTCCTCCTTGCCCTACTGCAAGCCCTACTGCATGTCGAATGGCGACGCTGCACGGTCCGCAGATGAAGGTCTGGCCAACAGACCCACCAACAACCCAAACAGCGTATGACATGGTGTGATCTGATTATGTCATACCATATGTACTGTGAAGTGATATCACGTGATATCCACAATTTACGCATGTTTGATTAGAGCTATGATCTCTGCCACTATTGGAGGACCCTGAAAAAACCAACAGTAACCCCAAAAGAATGGCTGACTGAAAGATGTTGTTCCCCTTGGAAATAGTGTCAACCCCGGATTAATAAACCATGGTTTACTAATTAGGGGGTATTCCTTTAATAGTCATTATCTAATACTTAAATGGTACCCTCCCAATTAAACAGCCGTTTGGGGTTTATTAATCCAGAGCTTTTTCCATTATGGTGGAACAACGCAAAAATTTTCAGGTGGAAGGACGTCCACCATTCCAGTTCACCAAGTCTCACTGCCCTGTTCGCAGGCGCTGATGGCTGCGTTGAAGGTCACCACATTCACTTCACCTCGTGAGTTTAGCGTGAGATAGCGATGGTTGCGGAGAGGATCATCTCGCGAATCGTAAGTGGTTACCCTCTGGTTTAGTATGGTTTAATATGGTTTAATGATGGGATGATTTGCTGGGATAATGATGGGATAATACTAGGATATTGATGGATATACCCACTGGTAATTTAATATAATTTAACAATATTTAACATATAGCTATTGAAAGTGGCCCAGTCGAAATAGTTGATTTACCCATTTTCATAGCATGGTGATGTTCCAGATTTCCAGTTCTTTTTTTTGTAAACGTTTACCAGGCCGGGTGATCATCTGGTGATCAAAAGTCACTCAACTGCTGGCCTAATCTCCATTGGTTACATCCCATGTTCCCATAACTCAAAGCCGCTTAATACTTTCTGGTTATTAACCCGTTTGCTATAGAAATTTGCCCATAGAATAGATGATTTATGTTATTGATGTTGATTTATGATGGTTTACCGTGATTGAACATGGTAATTTCCCATAGCTACGTGAAATAACCAAGGGCTGTACCACCAGATTTTCCACAATTCCATCGGCAACCACCCCTCAACGACGCCTTTCGTCTCAGCTTCGCGAAAAACCTGCAGGGCCAGGAGCCATTCGTTACCCCGGGCGCAGGCGTTCAGAGCTGAGCAGTAGGTAATCCTGGGCTGAGGCAAAGAGGTCACACAGATATATACATGGTTATACCATGTCCCGCGAACATTTAAATTTTGGGATGAAAAATAAAAAATAAAAAAATATCGAAAAATGAGAATGTGGTTATCATAGAAAACTTCAAAAATCTCGCAACAGGAAAAGTTCTGAAATGTCATGGGATGTTTTTGAGACATCCCAAATTTTCACATGGGCAATTTGGGTCCATTGAGCCGATCCGTCAAACCCCAAAATTTCTGAACCAACTTGAAGTGACCCGATCTGGTTCAACCTGCCCATTGCCAGATCTTGGTGTTTGGTACCGCCTAAAAATCCCGAAAATGGAGAGACTGGAGATGGTTTTTGGGCTGGGGCGAGGCTCGGGTTGCTCTGCATCTGCTTCTGCAAAGTTGACAACAAGTAGATGGCCCACTGCCACTGGGAATTCTTCTCACATGCACCAATAGCGGCACCATATGCAACGACATTGCCTGCCAGGCACTGGGCACTAAGTGCTTCCGTTCAGAATCTGCACCAATGTGTCCGTGTCTGGAGGTCATGTAGATCATCTAGCATGCCAATCATTGGTATGATTCCAATGGCAACCATGATAATTATCATTGGGGCAATCTTGAAAGATTTGTCCAGGGGTTTTCTCTATTTTTCCCTATAATCAATGGATTGGTTTAAAGGAAAATTTACAGGAAACCTCCATATTTAATGGTAAAAACCATGGTTTCCTCAATCCAATGACTGGATATAAGGGGGAGGATTTTCCGCCTGTTTCGTCATCAGATTTCCCACCATATCCCACCATATCCCACCTTCCACGCGGCACATCTGCAACTCCCCCAGCAGCGACAAGGCCACTGGCCACTGCCGGCAGGCGCTGATGGCGGAACCTCAATCAAAAGATCCCGAAGACATGGAAAAAGTGGTGGAAAACATCCAAAAATGCTGGGAAAATACACAGTTTGGATCCAAAATGCTGGGAAAATCTGGAAAACGTGGTCGGAAACATCCAAAAATCTTAGGAAAATACACATTTTGGATGCTGGGAAAATATGGAAAAATCTCCCAGAAGTGGTGGATGTCATACATTTTGGAGGTGTTTGACCATTTTGGATTGTTGAGGAAACATCCTCGAAAATTCTCCAAGATCATCTAACATTATCCAGAATCATCAGAGAATCAACCGTTTAACTTCACGATTTTTTTCATGCGTAAAATAACAATCATCATCAATAAATCAATGAATAATCATCAACAATAATACAATAAACTATGGTTTAAAAGAGAGGATCATCTGATACCATCATCAATAATGTCAACCCCGGATTTTGCTAAACCATGGTTGATTTTCATTAGGGGGGTACGTACCCCCAAATAGTCATTTCATCCAATACTTTTTTATGGTACCCTCCCAATTAAACAGCCGTGTTTACGGGGTTTATTAATCCAGGCTTGACATTAAATCAATGAATAATCATCATAATAATGGTGACATTATCATCAACAAATGATTATACTGATTTATCAATATGATAATAATCATCAGTAAATCATAAATCAACAATAATACAATAATGATACTGATGATGATCATCCCATTTCTTGGGCTGGCCATCTCAAAAATACCAATGGAATCAGCGGACCACCGACATCGGTCTCTGACCCGAGGAACTGTAGATGAAGACGTCGCAGCGGCAGCGTCGCTGTTGAAAATCACGGAGCAAATGAAGAGCTTCCCTGGGAGATCTGGCTGAGTGGTAGGGAACTGTGGGAAGTGGGTCCTGGTGTCACTTTGTCAGCTGCAAAAAGATCTAGGCATTAAACTTGTGATGATGAATCATCATGGATTGTGGGGATGAAGAAAACCACGTCCCAAACCACCAGTTTACCATTGAAGAACTCAGGTGAGCATCACCACAGCAAGGCCATAAATTGGTCTATAACCCCATCTAAGTATGGGGGGTTCCATAAATGGTGGTACACCAATAGCTGGATGGTTTATTCTGGAAAATCCCATTAAAATGGATGATTTAGGGGTACCCCTATTTCAGGAAACCTCCGTATAAGTATATTCCCTGTAAACCCTAGTTATTGTAGTCATGAACCAACTTAGCTATCCAGGGCCCCACCTTGTAAGGCCCCAAGTTCGAACCAAGTAACTGCCATTCCTTCCGCTGTCCACAGCTTCCAATGGCTGACACATAGCTGCTGGAAGTTGGACGACATCGCTCTTGTGCCATCGGCTGCAGCAAATACCAGAGCTCAGTAGAAAATATGAATAGTAGCTATTAGGAATAACCTCCACAATATTATTAGTATATACAGTAGTAGTATAATATATATATACACATTAGTAATATATTGGTAATTAATATTATATTGCTAACCTCCAAGCTCTGCGGATTAACCACGGTTTTTTGGTGAAGCAACTGATGTTTGAGACTCCACCGGATTTGCCCCAACTGGACATGTTTGAAAAAAGTGATAACATAAAGTGTGGACGAAAGAGGTCGGGGATGATCACCAATAATGATATGTAGTGTTTATCATTGTTTTCATGGTTTATCATCAATCAAGAAATTGCGAAATTTCCTAAGAATCATCTTGTTTATCATCCCAAAATCAAGTAACCTATGGATTACAAACATTAAATGCTGGCCTCCGCCTATGGGATTCGTCACCACCCGAGTTTCAGGGACCACCTGGACCACCTGGCGCCAAGTGACGCGCAGCAAAGGCATGGCCCTCAGCACACGCACATGATCGCCCTGCAGAGAGCGATGTTTCTTTTTCGTTGTAGACTGCATATGTGTAAATATACTGTACATGTATGTGCAGTCGGATCTTTTACCGGCCCACAAATTCGACATTTTTGTTACATGTCATCTTAAACCTCTTGGGGTGGGGGTTGGGTGGGGTGGGGTGGGGCATGTCAACGTTCGTTTGCACTTGCGTCATGAAGTTGATGCTACGTCACGCATGGGGTTGGGGTTGGGTGGTGTGGGGTGGGGCATGTCAACGTTCGTTTGCACTTGCGTCATGAAGTTGATGCTACGTCACGCATGGGGTTGGGTTGGGTGGTGTGGGGTGGGGCATGTCAACGTTCGTTTGCACTTGCGTCACGTTGGGGTTGGGGTTGGGTGGGTGGGGTGGGGCATGTCAACGTTCGTTTGCACTTGCGTCATGAAGTTGATGCTACGTCACGCATGGGGTTCGGGTTGGGTGGTGTGGGGTGGGGCATGTCAACGTTCGTTTGCACTTGCGTCATGAAGTTGATGCTACGTCACGCATGGGGTTGGGGTTGGGTGGTGTGGGGGGCATGTCAACGTTCGTTTGCACTTGCGTCATGAAGTTGATGCTACGTCACGCATGGGGTTGGGGTTGGGTGGTGTGGGGCATGTTAACGTTCGCTTGCACTTGCGTCATGAAGTTGATGCTACGTCACGCATGGGGTTGGGGTTGGGTGGGGTGGGGTGGGGCATGTTAACGTTCGCTTGCACTTGCGTCATGAAGTTGATGCTACGTCACGCATTGGGTTGGGGTTGGGTGGGGTGGGGCATGTTAACGTTCGCTTGCACTTGCGTCATGAAGTTGATGCTACGTCACGCATGGGGTTGGGGTTGGGTGGGGTGGGGCATGTTAACGTTCGCTTGCACTTGCGTCATGAAGTTGATGCTACGTCACGCATGGGGTTGGGGTTGGGTGGGGTGGGGTGGGCCATGTTAACGTTCGCTTGCACTACAGATACGTAGAGGCATATATAGATTCTTACCTGTAGAGTATTCGCATCTACATATGTATACATACACCGATATTGCGATCACTATATGTAATATGAATGTTCATGTATACATATGGACACATATATAGATATGATACACATATATAAATATATAGATATGATACCTGCTGGCCAAAACGGGCCTCTACCTGGCAAAGCTGTGAGCTGAAAAATGGAAAACCGAACTCGGCACGTTTTTGACCACAAAATGCTGGAAGGGTTGACGAAAGCATCTTGCGATGAACTTTTTATAAGAAACTTTTTTGGACCCAGAATGTGCGTTTGGCTAGCACGAGAACGACGTTTTTGAGAAATCATGGGACGGTGAAAGATCCGTCGGGATGTATGTGTATATATATATACACATACATACTGTACATATACTATGCAATTACAGTAACAAATACTGTAGGTGATAGAAATACAGCCACACCTGGCGCAAAGCTCTGGACTTCACATGCCAACTCTTGGCCCCCAAACTGCACCAGCATAGCTCTGCGTGGAGTATTGCAAACCAAGCCTCAGTGGCGACGGGACGTGCAGCCCCATGTGGCTTTGTTGGGGATATTATATATATATTGTATATATATATATATATTGTGTATATATATATGTTGTGTATATATATATGTTGTGTATATATATATATTGTGTATATATATATATTGTGTATATATATATATTGTATATATATATTGTGTATATATATATATATATTGTATATATATATATGTGTGATGTATAACTGACAAACCATAATTGTTTGGGTGTATAAAACCAACCATTTAATGACGATATTTACTGGTGTTTTTGTTGGGTACTTCCCCACCACAGAAATGCTCTGTTTGTTTTTGAGTCTGAAACGTTGACCAATTCCGACCCCGACCAAGGCCCCTCACAACTTCATTTCTGCCAACAATTCCGTGGCAATTTGCCAAGAATCCTCGGATTTAACACGCAGGGCTGAGAGCCTTCGGAAGTTGAGGTTACGAATCTTCAGTTTCAAAGGATTTGTCTCGTTAAGTCCTTGTTTGATTATTCTAAGACTGAGAAGAAATCAAGCAAAGCTGCATTCGACAAGGGTGTTCTTCGCCCATGATTCTTTCTTCTGTTTCGCTTCCAGGTTTCCCCTATCCGAAAATGTCAGGTATGGTGAAATCACAGTGTACCACGCGATTTCAGATCGCTGGTGGCATGAGCCATTTCTATATCCTCTGGTTGGTGGTTGACCTAAAATCCCTCTGAAAAATGATGGACTTCGTCAGTTGGGCTGATGAAATTCCCAGTATATGGAAAGTTGGGCTGATGAAAATCCCAACTGAATGGGAAAATAAAATTCATGTTCCAAACCACCAACCAGTCCTGTATTCCCATGTTGGCATAGCCAAAATCCCAAATAAACTATCCAACATCATCCAACTAAATTAGAAATCCTCACTTTTTGAAGATATTTCCCAATCCCCTTGGGACTGCTGTTTAATAAGATATACAACCATAGTAATGTGGATAAAACAATAATAAATCATCCCCAAGTCATCACCATTTTTATAGGTGGTATAAACCATCCAAAATGGGGTGGTAAAAATGGCATTGTTTTACCCACATGACATTTTTTTATGTCAACCCCGGATTCATAAACAAAATGGTTTATGAATTAGAGGGGTACGTACCCCCAAATCGTCATTTCATCTAATACTTTTTTATGGTACCCTCCCAATTAAACAGCCGTGTTTACGGGGTTTATGAATTCCAGGGTTGACATTAAATCAATGAATAATCATCATAATGATCGTGACATTATCATCAACAAATGATTATACTGATTTATCAATATGATAATAATCATCAGTAAACAGCCCTAAACCGGGTTTAATGATCCAGGCTTGACAGTAGCCCACCTGGGAAAACTGGGAACCAACCCCTGGGAACCCCTGGGAACCCCCGGCGGCACCGCGGAGGCTTTGCATCACCAGGCCGAAATGTTCGGTGGAGGGAACCAAGCCCCAACGCCTCTACCAAGAAAATCTGGAGGAATTTAGGACAACACTTGGGATTGTTCGGGATTGTAGATAAAATCGAAGTTGGAAGCAATCAGAATATGGAAGAAAATCTGGCAAGGAGACGTTGTTGTTGTCCTTCGAAGAGGCACAACGATGAAGGTGACCCTCTCATTCTGGTACATGAGAATGGTTCTCAAAAGAAACAGATTGTCAGTTCGCCATCTCTGCTAAAACAATCCCCGTTGATTCTCACATAAATTGCCACCATCAATCGTTGAGAGTTGAGAGGGTGGTCCCTAAAGTTGTCTTGAAGACATACTGCTTTGAAACATATCAAAATGAGTTTTGGTCAGCATCAGAGCATCAGGTAGCTCCAAATCCTATCGTTCACTACCTAAAAATGACCAGCCAATGAGTGCTGAGGCACCTTGAATGTTGCTGATACCCTTAGTTCTTTGAAAAGTAAGTCAATAGCCCATTTGTATCCATTTGCTGGTAGTACTTCCTGAAAATTTACTCAAGTTGTGGGCAAATCCAGGTCCATACCATTGTTTCTGGTATGAAGTTCTGCTGAGACCGCAACGGGCAGGCGTCCACCAGCAAAGATAAGGCCTTGCACAGAGTCGATGTGGGGTCCCAAGTTGGATGATTCTGTTTACCCTCCAGTAGACTAGCATAGCTATAGACAATTCCCCATTTATAGCTGTTTTACCTATGACAAAATGATGATGTTCCATAGCTATGTTAGTTGACTAGAGGGTAAGAATATTTCAATGGAAAATCTATGGGAAACCATAGTTCTTACCCTCAAAAACGAAGGTGTCCAGCATCTTTCCCCTTATGCTTGTGGTGCCCCTCGTCAAATACCCAATATCAAAACATGGCAACAGACATTCCCAGTTCATGGCAAAGAGAATCTATGAACATGAGATGTTTCATGGGTGGTTGCTACTAATTAATCATAATTCATCTATTAAGTCAACCAATCTACGGTACTTGCCGGTGTTTTGTTGGATTTGGATGATTTTCGCCTCAACTGGCGGCGGTAAGGGTCAGCAACAAACATCCCGTTGTCGATTTCAGAAAGGCAAACTGGTTGGTTATATATAGGATATATAGGATATTAAACCATATCAAAATCATATTAAACATTATTAAACCATATCTGGTTGGTGGTTGAGCCCTACCCCTCTGAAAAATGATGGAGTTAGTCAGTTTGGGATGATGACATTCCCAACTGAATGGAAAAATAAAACATGTTCCAAACCACCAACCAGCAAATCATATCTTCATTTGAATGTTTGGAGAAGGTCTGAGAAGGTTTGGAGTATGGCTCAAGCAATTCATGAGCCCCAGTAACTATAGTTATAAATACCATAAACCATAGTTATTGGAGTTATAAAGCAACTGAACGCTATCATTGGGGGCCTCACATTGTACGAATTGCCGCAAAAAAAAACACGTTTTTCAACATTGATCTCACCGAATCGCCTGCTGCCAGGCCATTTCCCAGTCTTTGGCAACCACACAGGCACCAAAGAAACCTCGCGTGATGACATGGATAGGATGTCCTTGGGATATACTGGGTGTACCTCAAAGCGATTGGATTCAAACCCAGTTGTGTCCTGTTGTCAAGTAGCCAAAGATAGACTATGTCCACGTGGATCCAAATAAACCATGATCACGGTAAAAAGATGCGTTTTCCAAGGAACTGCTCAGCATTTGTGTCGTGAGTCCGGCGTTGCTGCGGGCCTTGGCAACAGAAATCTGTGTAGATCTTATGCCACCGAGATGTATATATGTATATACGTTATATATATGTGTGTGTGTGTTCTATAGAGATGTACATGTATACTTTATTTGTATGTTTTGCTCGGCCCTTTGAGATGATCTCGCGGCGGTCTCGCAGGGATCATCAGCGCATCGGCTGATAATCAGGGAGCATGCTCTTGGTGTGATCCACACTACCAGATACATGCGCTAATTCTTTGGCGAAAAAATCGATCTCACCCAAACCACCATCAAAGTGACGAGATTCGATTCGCCTCCAAAAGGCAGTTGCGAAGCACATGCACAAATTTGGGGGATATTCTTTAGCTCTGGATGTTTTGAAACTTCCAGTGCTATCATGTCCAATCAAAGGCTCAAGGCAATTACGCTGCATGGGCTGTGCAAACTCAGAAAGGACATCGCCGATGCAGCAATTGGCATGGAGAAGGGAAGTCGGCTTAGATCCGCAAGCTCCATGATGTCCCTGTCTGAAGGTATGTCGCCTAAAGAGCCACCCCTCGCGCAGAAGTAAATTGATCACGCCCGTTCTCCAAATAGCAGCTCGTTCAGATTGCATGGGAGGAGCCGGATGCTCCAAAATGACGGCACCTCCGGTCAAGGCGACCGGGATGGAGAGCCAAATTCCACGCAATAAGAGGCTGTTGCCTATATCCAGCTGCTTGAGTTCAGCTAATGAGAGTTGCGAAAGCCCCCATGGACGCGTGGCACTCCGCAATGGCCTCGGCCCTCTCATCTGCCTCCCTTCCAAGTCAAGTAGAACTGCATGTCGTGCGCTTGACCATGTCTCGCACGGTGGGCCCAATAAAAGCGCCAAAATTCGCCCTGCTCTTGCGGCATCAAAGAGAAATCCCCAAAGACGCTCATCATGGACATTCATGCGGTCGTCAATGGCCGTGTCGATCGATAGGACATAGACTGCGCTGCTCCAAGGAGATCTGCTGGACGAAATGATCTTGTTGATCTGGTCATGAAAATCCCCTTGTCGCCTTCTGCCAGCATAGAGATGAATAATGAAAAAGGGCACAGTCTCTGCAGGTTTGACTCGTCTGGGTCTGTCCGTCATTCTCCATCTCCTCCATTGTTGCTCCTTGCTCTCGAGAGCAGCAAAAGCAGAATCAATGGGATGTGCACGTGCAGGTCGGCGTTGGGCAGGCTGCTGTGGAACTCGATGAGCTCGTGGTTCGCCAAGCTGAAGAATGTCCCACTGCTTCCGCAACTGCTTCATTCGAACTTGGAGATTCCAAATATGGATGTCAGCCAGGAAGCTCATGTGTGCCTCTTCCAAGGCGTAGTACGCATCATGGTGCGCATACTGCTCAATGATGGTGTAGAAGTCAGTTTCAACCCAAAAAATGAAGATGCGGGCAGCTTGAAATTCCGGAATCTCCATGTCAAAGAATAATCGGAAAAACATGTTGTGGAAATCAACCACTGTGGGCTGCTCGATCTCAAACCAGTCACGAAGACGTGCTTCAAATTGTGCGCAGCACTTCCGTGTCAGAGGCTCATCATCAAGTGGGTTCCACCATGCAAAATCGCATCGCCCTTCTTCCTCCAACTCTGCAATCTCTCGACGGACTCGTTGGCGTTCTCTGTGATGCGCTGTGGGTCGCAATGGCCCATGGTGCTGCCTCACAGCTGGTAGACGATGCACTCCAATCAAGTGGGGAGGCAAAGTCACAAGTCCAGGATCTGCCGGCTGACGAACTCCAAAAATGCGTTCCCAGCACTGGTTGGCCCGATATCGGAGATGTTGTGAGACACGATAAGTGGTGTGGAAAGTCTTGAGACAACCTGGGCAAACTGCAGACTGGACGTACATGCTTTCAAGCGCACGTAGGCCATGTTGTCGAAATGCATGGACACCCAATTGTTGGCAGGTGGAAAAAACCGCATCACAATTGGAGCAAGGAAAGCTACTCCCAATGTCCTCATCCTCATTGGTAAGGTCCATGAGCTGCATTCCAAAACGTTCAAGCTCCAAACGGATGCTGTGATGATAAGCACAGACAGTGTTGGCAAGATGTTCTTGTTCAACATGCTTGCAAACCGCTCTTTGAATCCATGCTTTCCACTGTGAGGTAGCACGCAGCTGCTGCCAATTTACTGTCCACGACGCACGATCGTGTGGAATCTCAAATGGCAAGTCACGAAGGTGAGAAAGCCATGTCAAGTCCTGCTCAACTTCAAAAAGCCAGCCTTTGTTGGTGGTTCTTTCCATAAGCAACAAAGTTTTGTGCGCCGTAATGGCATGCTGGGCAATGTGCTGCAGGAAACCAAGCCGATGTCTGGTAAGGAAAATGCGGAATGGTATCAGGCCATTATCCTTCATGAAATCATGGTCTTTGACTCGCTCTGGCGACCAGAAACCAATGCCATAGATCTGCCTGTAGCAGTCTATAACCATCGCATCAAGTTTTTTAAATGAGGCACTTGAGATCTCAGACCAGATGGCGCATCCGTACAAAAGTCTTGACAACACCAGGCTCTGAAAAAGCTGAATACGGGCACGAATGGGAAGCGATTTGTTCATGAACACTGGCTGTTTCAACTGTGAAAATGCCTGGCGGGCAGCTCCCAATCTAGCACTGATTTCACTGTCAATGTCCATATTCATGGCATATCGCACTCCAAGGTGCCGATATGATGAAACCACTCGGACTGTGAGAACATGAGTGTCAGTGGTTACTGTGATGGTGGGCTGCGTATTCCGCAAAAACAATTCACGTCGGTGCTGCACTGCACCTTCTCCACGAAAACAAACGATCGTCTCAGTTTTGCCCGGATCCAAATTAAGGGACAGGCCTCTGTTGCGAAATGTTGAGTGGAGAATTGCCAATGTATATTGAACTAACGGTACAAGTTCAGAAGGATGCGCGGCTGACAAAGCGATGGCAACATCATCAACCCATGCAACTGGTGGCACATACGTGCCGATGGCTCGCGCACCTTCATGAAATGCCTCGGATTCATTCAGCTGCCTGGTGACTTCTTGAAGAATGTCGGACATCATCAGGTTAAACCCAATATCAGCCATTGGGCTCCCTGGTCGGGTGCCTCTCAAGGTTTGGGTGCAGGAACCATCCTGCTGTTCATTGCCATGCAACTGAAACCACGTGTGGTTGTGAAGGTCATGTAGGAATCTCCGTAGACCGCTGGGGATGTCATCAACTTGGCTTGCGCAAATCTCGTTCAGGTCATGCTCAAGCTTTTCTAAATCAAACTCGCAGTCATCCAGAAATGTGGCCATCGTTGTGCTCAACAACGTATTATGCGTTGAGAAAATGAGCTCACGGATCATATGATGAAAGGCAGATTTCAAATCAATGAAAAGCGTGGCAGTGGAAATCCCCTTAGCTTGCCCAATGATTCCATGTAGGCGAATCAATTGCACCGCAGTCATTGTCTGCTGCGAGGGCAGGCCACCAATCTGGCCGATGGTGCGCCGTTGCTGTAGGGTTGGGAGAAGCCGCATGCGGGCCCATGCATGGGTGACCTTGGCAAAACTGTTGGCTAACAGTATGCCGCGATATCCGGCAGCATCATCCAGGCAGCCCTTGTTTTTGTGAATGGCACAAAGTCGCCCGCCCTTGTAACTGACCGGTTCAGCTCCATGCAGAACTGCCTTGCACAAAACTGAGTGCAATTGCGGTGCAATGGCAGCAGCCCCTTGACGACACAAATCGGATGGAATGCCGTCAGGTCCGGAGGCCTTGTTGGGTTTTTGTTTGAGGCACAAAGTCTCAACCTCTGCTAGTGTGGGAAGTTCCTGGAGCTTAAGGTGTAAGCCAGGAGCTTCTCGTGCTCGCTCTTCAGCATTACGGTTAAGACATCCACGGATGAGCTCACCAACTGATACTGTTGTGCCCGCTTCAAGGGATTGGAAATGAGTCAAGAGCTCATGTTCGATGTCCCTCTGCACTTGAAAGCGTTTGGATCTGTGTTCCGGCAGCACAGCTTTCAGTTTCTTCCAAATGCCAGTCAAACCTTCAACACTATAAGTCTGGGCAGATTGGTCGGCCAAACGTGCATAATACTGTGAGTCCTCAAACTTGATGGCCTTCTGAACATCGCTTGCAGCTTTTCGCAACATGCTAGTGGTTTTGGCAACCGCATGGTCATGCAATCGATTCCATTGAGGAAGGTCACGTTGAATCGCACTGATACTGCTATTGGGTGCTCCTGAGGAAGCCCTCCAGCTGAGAAAACATGCTTGCAAGGTTGTGTGGCGAGCCACACGCTTGAGTGATTTCAGCTGCTTGAAGAGGTTCTTTTTCACATCCACAAGGTCCCAAGTAGAAGCTGATATATGGCTTTTCCTCTTCCACATCCCTTTCGGCTGAGCAATCTGTGAAACAGCTTGCGATGTTGAATTGGCCAGCCATTCAGCGCTTGCATGGGGGTCAAGTGTCCAGGGTGGAGCACTGACTGAATAATGCAACAAATGCATGCACTGATCTTGTTGGAGTTTACATGAGAGATTTCGCACATCAACTCCCTTGCGGCTACGTGGCCGTTGATTTGGACAGCTAGGAACTTTCAGGTGCAAACGGCATGAAACTGCAAAATGGTCATGTCGATGAACGCTGAGATCAATGTTGCTTTCAACTTGTGACTCAATGAGGTCAAACTCAATCTCACGTGGCAAGGCTACATAGTCAATGCGTGTCTCATGTTGACCATCTGGCGCAAGAAAAGTCGGCGCTTCTCCATGATGTAGGTGCTGAAAGGTAGCTGGCAAATATAAGTCATGAAGCAACAGCCAATCGTGAAAAAGGGCTCCAGCTTGGTTTTCAACGGAGGACTGATGCGGTCCAACTGATGCTGTTGTTTGCTCGCCAAGATGGGCATTGGCATCACCACAAAAGAAAACAGGAGCTCCACGGGCTTTCTTCTGTAAAATGGCAGTGATGTTGTGCCAAAATTGGTGGGCATCAATTCGTGGCTTCCCAGAATGCGGGGCTCTGCAGGTGACTATGATGCATCTCCAGGTTTGTAACTTGAGCGACGCAATGAGATAGTCCGCAGCAGATGCAACTATCTTGATGTCTTGGCGCTGAATCAAGGTGCCTTCCTCATCAATAGGAAGTCGTTTCGAAACCCAAAGCTGGATGCCATCTTGACCCGTCAATGTGGCAGGGTGACCAACAATGTGGTAGAGGTCATTATTCAGAGCAAGCAAATGCCGATGTCTAGTTTCCTGGAGACCGATCACATGACATGATGCCTCATGGAATTGCTGCATAAGGACATGTTGCCTGCTGACGGTTGGTTTGTAGTCCGTCTGTGCCATCAAGGTCATGACATTCGCAGTCGCAATCTTGAACATGAGAGGATGATTGCAAACAGTTTCTGACTTGCCTTGAGAGGAAGGCGTGGCATCATGATCGTGGCACGGAGTTACAGCTGGAATGATGCATTTCATGATTCCATTGCATAAGGCTGGAACTCGTGGGTCATGAACTTCCATGAGTTCTTTGTACCAAAGCCACTGAAAGGCCGTCAGCTTGTCAGGCGAATCCAGCCATTGCTCCCAATAGGTACTGCTCTGTGCTTGGTCGTAGTTTTGGACGACCCATTTAGCAAGGGCGTCAGCCGCTTCGTTCCATGGGTGCCCTGCATGAGCTTTTACATAAATCCAAGCAAGTGCATCAATGCCATGTCTGGTTTGTAAGACCTGAGCAATACTTCGGGTGAGGGTTCGCCAGCTGTGTGCATGGGAAGTGCGCCAATATCCTGCTGCAAGGTAGCCAGAACACGTGGCATCAAAATTGAAGCTAAAGGCCAATTGAGCTTGTCCATGGACTTCCCAATGTTGGTTGCTCAGCTGAAAAGCCCACAATAGCGCCCATGCAATAGCGCCATTTTCACCAGCAACAGAGGTGTCACCGGTTTCGACCTTGCGATAGAGACAACCACCATAGTGCCATCCAGTGGCTGTTTCAATCAATAGAACAACAGCAGCTCCAACTAAACCAGGCGCAGCTTTCGATTCATCAGTGAAGAAGTGATACACCAGAGGAATTTGGTCACCAAGTGGTTGCAGATCCCGCATGGCAACACAAGTGACCTCTGGCATTTCGAGCTGTGGGGGCCAACATTGCAGAAAGTGATGCCCATTGTTGTGCAATTCATTTGCCAAGAAAAGCACCGAGGAGAAATCAACCTCTACAGTGATGGGTGGGCTGATCAATTCTTCAAGTTTGAGCACGTGAGGTTCAGGCCACTGGGTATGAGCTACCTGCCCAGTTGTTAGGCGCCTGTCCTCTGCTGGTTTGGTTGGCTTCAACACTGCTTTGGTTTGCAAAAAACTCGCCGAAGATGCCGCCTCTGTCGCGGTCCACTCTTCTTGATTCCACTCAAAATCTCCAGTTCTTTGGATAATGAGTGAGAAAGTGTCACCATGCCTGCATTGATATTCTGTTTCCTCAGAGATCTCATGGCCCTGTTGCCAAATGGTGCACGTTGTGTACAAGTTGAGTGGTGGGCAGTCATGTTGGCGGTTAATGGCTGCTAGGAACTGAGCACGCAAGACTTGTTGTGAAAGAATTGCGGCTGTGACATGTGGACGATTGTTCATGACTCCATCATCATATGTCGTGATCAGAGTGGAGCGCTCCTGATGCTGAAGCAATTGATGAACAATAATATGGAGTTGCCCAGGAACATGATCATAGACAATGGCAAAGTCTACATCAATGTGTGGGTCCAAGAGGTCTAGCCAGATACGCTGAAGCTGGCTTTCCCACTGATGGAAATTGTCGCCCAAGGTTGTGAGCCGTTCTTCATCGTTGACTCTAATCCGTCCAGAGTGTAGAAACCATGTGTGAACATGCAGGAGACGCTCGATATGCGCAGGCCCAGTGCGAGCATGGACATCCCAATGCCTGAAAAGTTCACGTGTGAAGTCAGTCTGATCATCGATGTTGGGAATTGCCGCAGGCATGTCATTGGGCACTGGGTCAGAGGTGGTGAACCACTGTGGCACTGTGACGTGCTCATTCCCAATGTGCTGAACTATCACTGGTGGGTGGATGTTCAAAATAATTCCATTCCCAGCTTGAAGTGGGACAGGCTCATCAGGCCGGAATGCACGAGCATCATGTTGCAAGTCACATCTGCGATCAATGCAGATCCTGCCCAGTCGGCAAAGGTCACGAACACGGAAGGCATTTGTTGGTGATTGAAGAACTGCTGCAACATAGTTAAGTCCTGTATGTCGATCAGTGAGAAATCTGACAGTGATCAGGGCAGGCACTGCTGGGTACAATACATCTTGATAGACAATCAAATGTCCAATTGTCCAGCTTGTGTCATGCTGCGGTGGCTCTGGAGAAACAATTGCAAAATGAACTGGTCTCGCAATTTGAATCTTGTCACGCCAAAGATGTACAATGTCAGAGATCCATAGGTGCACTTGTTGATCAAGGCGCAGAATCCTGCTTTCTTCGGAAACTTGTTCATGGGAACCGCTTACAAACCAGGTTGTCAAGAAGGCTATGGGGCCTTCTTCTTCGCACTCAACTGCAGATCGGTGCACGAAATCATGGTGGAGAGCTTGAAACCATGACGGCCGAGGTTCCTCATGCGCTAACCGACGACGATTTGGAAAATGGCTTGGGGAAGCTTGCTCAAAGCTAGTTGCATTCTCCTGTGCCCCAAAATGTTGATGTACTTTGCAGCTGGTGAAAGAAAGATCCAGAGAGGTGCTAACCTGCATCAAAGCGTTCACATCCTCAATTTCCTGCTCAGCTTCGACCTCTGTGTGGAAGTCGTCCGGGTCAGGATTGGTGTGATATCGATGGACAATTTGTCCATGATTCAGTCCATGCTGACATGCCCTAATTGCAAAATAAGTTGGAATCTCTGGTTGTGCAAAGGGGGGGACAGCAACCCTCACATAATCACCATGAGATAACTCCAAATTTGCACTATTCTGGTATGGGACAAGTTGCCCATGATGCCAGAGCAGACATCTGTCTTGCCGAAGCTTGCAGTATGCTGCAACGCCAGTGATCTTGAGGAGCAGAGACCTATGTATAGGCGTTGGGATCATTGCAGTGTACCGGTCAATCTCAATGACCGAATCAAAGTTGGATCCATGAATTTCAACATCTATAAGGATGGCCCTGCGATTGTCTCCAAACCTGATGTCCTCGTGGGCAAGCAGGATGAGCGGTTGAACACGTGCGGCATGTAGATCACTTGGCACTGGATTGATATCATAAATGCTTGCTACATCGTGGTGTCGATATCCGAGCAAACGTCTGGTTTCAATAAAAGCAGCAGCTGGTGGTCTGGTGCGCACCCTCCCACTTGCAATATTTGAACGCAGATCGTATACTTGCACTGATTGCCAGTCAGCCTGTTCCGACACTGATGATGGTGATGTGGGCAGGTGTGTTTGCAAGTCAGAGTCACTTTCAGGACTGGATTGCGGCTGCCGCACTTGGTGAGGTCGACGTGCCATAAAAGAAGTACAGTCATCTGATACATCATTGTCGAGACTAAAGAAAACCTCCTGATTGATCGTCTCAAACCTGTCATGGTGAGGCTCAAATCGAGGTGGGAAATACGATTCAAAAATCTCGGCAAAGGGCGCGAACTTGACTTTTTTGCAAATGTAAATCTTTGAGTTGGTTCTCAATGATGAAGGTCGGTCAAAAGTGGCATCATTGGATTGGGCAGGCCTGTAAGCAGGCTGCACTCCATTGCCAAGCACTTCATTCCTCAGGCATGTTGCACTCGCTAATGCCGATGGTTCAGAAAGAAAGGTTGGCTCCCAATGTATACTGTGGCATCGAATCATGAAACGAATGGGATCAAACGCGAGGTCCGGCTTGCATGCTGCACCGACAGCTTGGGGTCGATAGGCATCAGCAAACTCGGGCGCCTCTTGATGCAAAACTGGCACACGTAGCCTGTTCCATTGGCTCGGACACAGATCTGCGCTGCCGATGTTCACGAGGGTGGCGATGAGGCATGCTGCTCGCCCAATGCCGCCATTGGAGTGCCGAAGGGCTCCATAGAGCGAGGTCTTTTGCTCCTTCGGTCTGCATCGTCGTCTGAGTTGATCTCCATAGTTTCGGATGCTTCTGCAGCTGCAGCTATGCTCTGTTGCAAGCTCTCTTGCACTTGTTGCACAAGTGCATTGGCTTCGGCTTCGAAGGCAGCTCCGTTGTCCCCATCTGCTGTCTCTCGGCCTGTGTCGCCAGCTTCGGTAGAGGTTGGTGCACCAACTTCTGCTGCCTGCTTGTTGAGTTGCTGCAGTTGCCTTCTGGCTGCAGTCAATTCCTGCTGGGCATGTAGTAGTTGATCTCCATATTCCTTCTGCTGATCTTTGAAGAGCTGCAGCTGCTTTTGCCAACTGTTGACTGAATCGCGCAAATGCTTCAACCAATTTTGTCGGTGTGCAGTTCTGGCATCCTTCACTGAAGCCAGATGTCGAGCAGCTTTTCCGACCTGGTTGGATGCTCGATTGAAGTCTTTGGATAGGGCTTTGGAGGTCGCTTTGTCGGCCTTGTCCACTGCTTTTTTGATATCGTCCGGGGCCTTCGCGAGGTCCGGATAGGACTTCCGAACTGCTGCAAGTAACTCCGCGCCTGCTTGAGCTGTTGCAGATAGTGTCGGTGGAATTGGCTCTTGTTGAGAGCTGGCTGGAGCTTCTGGAGAGGGCCATGGTGGGATGGCTGCTGCTTGAGCGGGCTGTGACAACTGCTCGCTGCTCGCTGCACCTTTGCTTCCTTTTCCTTTGCCTCCCCCTTTGCGGGCTCGTGCGCTCTCGCTTCGATCTGCCTGATTCCAGGGCCTTGTTCGCCCTTTCTTCTGCTTCGTCTTCTGGTTGTAGCCCCAGTCCCATTGCGACTGTTGGGCAACTGCTCGTGGCGATTTCGGAGCATTGGAATGCGGCTGTCCGCTGCTCCAATGCTTCTGGCATGTGGGACAGAACGTATGTCGTTTCCCGTTCAGTCTTCCGCATGCACAACGCCATGGGTATGTCTCTTGTGCTGCCATTTGTATTCGTTCCAGGAAGCCAATGTCCTTGGAATGATGTCTGGCCAAAATTGATGTGATTCTGGCTAGTTGTGTAGTGGTCAATTTCCTTTGACCTTTGCGATGCTGATGCCAATGTGCACGAGCAGTGGCTCGCAATCGCCTGTCTCTCCTCCTTGATGTTTGTGTAGCCGTGGTCGAACTGCACGAAATTCACCAAAAATGAAATGCACAAAATAAGGAAATTGGATTGCATCAAAGGTGGCTTCCTCCCGGTACAGCTCCAATGATGAGAAAGAGGGTATACGCACAGCAAAAGTAACCAGGAAAATCAACTGAACTCGAACGCCGTGATGTCCACAATATCAAAGTGGTAGGTCAAGTCAATGACAGCTAGCACGATGAAAAGGATTACCCCAAATAAATAAGCCCCAAGCAGTAGGTCAAGTGAATGACAGCTAGTGCAAATGGGAATATCGGTGTGAGGCCACCGCAGAACCAGGTGCTTAGGCGAGGTGGTGAGATCCCTCCCGGGGACTCAGAGCACTTTCCGTAGTGCAACCAGGTCAGGAAAGCAGCCCGTGGGTCAGGTCAGCGAAGACCCACTCAGGTTAATGGCACCGCAAACTGGGAACGACGGGTGCTGGAGCCAGAACCTTTATTTGTATGTATATATATATATATGTTGTACATTTATATGTATTTACTTTAGATATATGTGATTCTATTTGTACATACGTTATATGCACACAGCATATGATTGCATATGCATTTCTTTGTATACAGAGATTAATCGAGAATGGATGGCTTTTGTAAAGAAATGAGGTGGTCAAAAGTTGGGGCTAGACAAGTGAAGGCTTCATAGCCACTTACACAGTTGGCTTACTATGGCAAAAGATGCTTGTAATATCTTGTCATGTTTGAAGTATTACTCATTGATATATGTTGTTATATCCAGTACTGCCAACACATGAAATCCATCCACGCAACTTTTCGAACTCGCTGTTGCAGGGCAACTGAAACGTATGCAGCGGCCTCTCCAGCGCCGGATACAGAGACTCAGATGAAGACTCTATCGGATCTGTTTGGTTCCCAAATTGTGAACTGAGAGGGGAATCGTTCAAAACATCAAGACATACTCCGTGACAGACTCACACGGCCGATAACTCGGCAGCATCTAAGCCTTAGACATGCTTTGGGGTCGAAGCTACACTGGTGATTTGCCGGTGTTTTTGGGGGTATGACTGGTGGTTTTTCCTGGCGTTTTTCACTCACCTCTAGCTATATGTACTAGTATATCTAGTATAAGGTTGTAGAAGCACCATCCCATCCATTGGTTCATCAGCGAGACAAAACGGGGATAAATCTCTAGCATTTTCAGCTCTACAATTCCATTTTTTGTTATGTACAACTCATATTGAATCATAGAATGATATCATGTTATAAATACAATATATATGTTTTACTATAATCATACAATAATATCATACTAATATCATGTTTACTGATACATGCTTTAAAACATATACTGTATCGCTTAGATCATATTACCCTCTGGTAAACGTTTACAAAAAGCTATTGAAAATGGCCATAGAAATAGTGAATTTACCCATTAAAAATGGTGATTTTCCAGTTAGCTTTTTGTTAAATTACCAGAGGGTAAATCCATCAATATCCTAGTGTTATCCTATCATTATCCCAGCAAATCATCCCTATAAAACCATATTAAACCATATTAAACCATAGTAAACCATAGTAAACCATCAAAAATCGCCCCCAAAAAATGCGTGGTTTCGCAGCCAGGGCTCCAGTATCAACGCAGCATCATCAGCTTCAACCCATATCCACCACGGCCAGGTAGGTCCCCGCTACGGCCGTGATGAGGCCGAAAACCACCAGGAAAGCACAGAAGAGTCGCTTCACCTGGGGATCGGCATGGAAAATCCTCGTCTTACCCGGCCTGGTAAACATACAAAAAGCTATTGAAAATGGCCATTTTTGATGGGAAAATCCACTATTTCTATGGCCATGGCTTCAATAGCTATATCCTCTGGTTGGTGGTGCAATAACCATCTTGAAAAATATGAGTTCGTCAATGGGAAGGATTATCCCATATATGAAATGGAAAATAAAAAATATTCCAAACCACCAACCAGGTAATGGGTTCTTAGCATTAAGCCAAGCCTTGATTGGAATTGTCGGAACCCTTAAACCCCTAGATTCTTGGGGGCTCAAGGGTTCTGACAATTGCTTTTTGTTTGTGGGAAAATCATCGAACTAAATGGGAGAACAGGATATAAAGATATGGGGGGGAAAATGACTAATAGAAAAATGGGATGTAATCAGAGACTATTTCTGTGAACTCCAAAAAAAATAATGATCAAACAATGGATTCATGGACCAGCAATATGTTGGAAACCGTAACCACCAAATGGACCACGTTTGCATCATGTTATATCTATTGATTGGGTATTCCAACCAACAAGATATAATAATATCATGTGTGTATTTGGAATACCCGATATATGGGTGCGTCCGAAACTTGGGTATATACCTTCGAAAAGCGCCATGTTTTTTCAAAATGATGATTGACCAGTGTTTTTTTGGGGGGTACCCTATATTCAAACAAACCCATATGGATTATGAGATCCTATATGGGGCTTTCCATAAATAGAGGATCCCCAAGCGAGCATTGGATGGTTTATTCCAGGGACAATCCACCAATCCAGGGTCCCACCAAAGGCCACACATATCGGCGGTGCCTGGTCTGTTTTGGAAGAGGCCAGGCGCATGTACATCATCGCCCTGAGGCCAGGATTTGACGGTGATTTAATGGTTGATTTGTAATGATTTAATGGTGGTTTATAGTGATTTAATGGTGATTTAATGGTGACTTAATGGTGATTTATGATGCTTTGTAATGGGCATTTAACGTGATTTAACCATCTACAATAGGGATACAATGGGTGTATAACCAATGAAACCCTTCTGGTGTCGCTCCATGGCGGGCTGCTGACTGCCGGAGGGTGAATGGCATTTTGGGGGTAGATGAGTCGAAGAATCGTTGCATTGCTTGGATTTTGGGGGAATTAAATGTTCTTCCGCAAAGATTACATGGAAATCCTACACTGATTGTGATAGATGAAACTTCACACAGTAATCTTCCAAGTCACATTGCCAACAGCCCACGATGTTTTCTTGAGAAAAAAGACTCTAGCTTTTCCTTCAACAGAAAAAACATACCCTCTGGTAAACTAACATAACTATGGAAAGATCCACCATTTTCAATGGGTAAATCCACTATTTCTATCACCATTTTCAAGTTCGCAAACTGCAACAAATTACCAGAGGGTATAGCCATCAATATCCCAGTATTATCCGATCATTATCCCAGCAAATCATCCCTATAAAACCATATTAAACCATATTAAACCATAGTAAACTATAGTAAACCAGCGGTATACCTCCATTTTCCTATGGTTTTCCTATGGTTTTCCTATGGATCCCATCTTCACCAGCTTCAGCCACGCTGCGGTGTCACAACCGAGGTGAGATTCACCAGCAAGGCACCGGCGAAGGAAGCCAGAGCTGCAACCTGCGGTGTCAGCAGTGACTGCTAAACACGCAACGTGTTGGTGTCTGTTGTATATAGAATATATAATATGTGTATACAATATGTTGCAATATGTCATAATATGTTATATATCATAATATATCATATATATATACTGTATACTAATCACTAGATATAGTGATATACTGTTTATATATATATATATACTGGTTGGTTATAGTAATAAAAAAAAGTAAGGTATAGTAATCACAAGTAAGTATCAACGCAAGGTCATAACTTGTGTTAGTTCATTATACTGGTTGGTTGTTAGGGATTTGCAGTTCATGGATCATCAAATCATCTCCAATAGATAAAGGATTTTGACCCATGAGGCTTCGATGAAGAACACTGAGAAGTCATGGCCTACACCCTTCAATATACCCCAGCACATCTTGGAACTTTGGAAGTGCAGTTCCCTTTATAAGTGGATATACAACTATACATTCATATACTATATATAGAGGCCCCATGGCCCAACAAACATGGGGGTTTTAATACAATGGTAGCCATATAAGTAACCGCTATAGCTAAAAAAAACCATGAAATCATCCCATGCTCGTCGCCTTTTGAGCAAGAAAGCAGGCCTCAGAGATGGCTTTCTAACCCGCCACACATTGACCTGGAAAAACATGGAACATCACCATGCTTTTTCCAGAACGGTAAGCCATCTATGAATCGATTAGGGCCATGGCTTCCATGGCAAACTGTGAATGTCATAACCAGGTTGGGTACCTATGCTGGGATTCCATCCCGCAACATTGTTCCCCTCGATTTTGATTGTACCATCTGGTTATGACTAACATAGCCATGGTATAAATGGCCCTAATCGAAATAGATGGTTTACCGTTCTTAATAGCCATGGTAATTTTCCATGGCGAACTGTTAAATAACCAGAGGGTAAACCTCACGTTGATTTTCAATGCGTGGCCAGTGGCTAGATTCCAAAATATGGGACTCCCTGAACCAACCAAGAATCGCAGTGACAGCTCTATCATGTTCCACCCAAGATTGTGCAGGATACAGCACCCCTATTTGAAGCATCCAGCATATGCTTTTTCAACCATCTTAAACAAGGTGCTCCAAACTTATATGGTTTCAAATCTTGTCTTCCCCATCCAACAGTAGCCATCTCTTGGAAAAACAACTAAATATCTATCTATCGAACTATCTAATCTAATCTAATCTAATCCAATTCAATCGATGCAAATGGTTCCTGTTCTGTCCTTTCCTTTGCTGTCCTGTCCTGTCCCATTCTGTCCTCTTCTCTCCTCCTCTTCTTCTGTTCTGTTCTGTGCTGTTCTGATCTATCCATCTAAGTATCTATCTATGTCTATATGAGTCTATGAGGATTTCCTGAAATAGGGGTACCCCCCTACTAATCATCCATTTTTATAGGATTTCCCATTATCAACCATCCAGCTATTGGGGTACCCCCATGACTATGGAAATCCCCTACGATCCACCCCCTACGTCAAGGCACGCTGGCTCCCGTGAGGAAGATGACCACTGCCGCAGGCAGAAAGCTTTGCAGGAACCTGGGATGGCATGGCACCTAAAAACTGGGGACATAAACCAAACAAAAGAGCTTAGGCTCACCAACCAAAATTCGGCGAGTTTGCCCATTTTGGCTGGAAATTCAAGGCTCAGATAATCTGATGATTCAGAGCGGTCCATCATGTCTCTGGGTCCATGGGTGATCTCCAAAGCCTCGCAGCCAAGCCACTCTTTGCGAGTGGCCATGCCTGCGGAAGCGTGGGCCCCGTGGACGCCCTTGGATGCCCTTGGACTCTTTGTTGGGACCCTGTGGGGGGAGGAGAGACGTGCGCTATGCTCAACCCTTCCAAAATCCAAACAACTCACCAAACCATAAAGACGTTTTTTCAATAGGACAATTATTGAACATCATCCTCGACACCCAAAATCTTGGGGCACTTTCAGACAATTGTTTGATGAGATTCAATTCATTATATGACCATCAATTGCTTGTTATACCCCTCGTTTTGATGCTTAACCCCATAGTTGGTTAAACCACCACCAGTAGCACATCAGGGCACATCGGAATGGGAATCACGAACCG